AAGGCAGGCATAGCCCGGCAGCTCAGTGGCTGCATCCTACTGTTGAGGATCCAAAGCAAAACAACTGCTACAAAAAGCCGACATGTTATATCTCCGCCATCCGTCCGATCAAAACTGCCGTCATACAGCCGAGCTAGAAGTGCAGATAATCGATATAGCCAGCTAGGGCACAGTCACACCCAACCGTGCCAGTGCCAGCAAAAATCAATCAGTTGCATGAAAACTCAGCCAGCCAGACAAGATTGGTCAGTCCAGAGCCGTTAGGTCGATGACCATATTGTTCCGTGAGCCTGCTGGTGCTGTTTCGCTGGGCTCTCGATTGGTACCGACATCTGCTCCCACTGAACTCGTCTGGCCCGGGGATTGCTCAGATGGTCCAGCCCCCAAGCCACCAGAAAAAGCATGGCCTGGTGTTGAACCACCCGTGCGCGAAGTTCCAAGGCTCTGTCCATGCACTTGGTGCTGAGCAGAGCCTGTGAACCCCAAGGTACCCTGCATGGCTTGGTGCATCGCTCTGTTGAGTCGTCGGCTGCATCCCACCGTGTGCTGGGCTCCGCCTGTGTCTCCACAGCTGGAACAGCATGTGAGATGTCCAATCCCCACTCGTAGCGTGCAGCCTGTAGTAATACACTCACTATGGATATCCCGAAGGTGCCCAAAAAGTCTGCGATACTGCCTATCGCAACGCCTCGTGTGGACCCCGACAGGATTGCGCTGCAGCTGGAGCAGCAGTACCGATGCCCTTCTGACGTTGGATGCCTGGAGCATCCGACACTCCTGCAAGTCAGAACATCAGGGGACCTACCCTGAGCCTGGCCCGCATCCGATGTGGCCATCAGACCACCAGCTGCCGCCATGTAGTACCTGTGGCTGTTGGCTTCGGCAACCAAGCTATAACTATAGCACTCTAATCTTCAGATGTGCATGCACACTCGTTTGACACTGCGCTTGCTGGACGAGTCGGCAGTGCAATGATGTGCAAGCTGGTACAGCTTCACAGGCACTGGATGTAAAAGCTCAGCTGACTAATAGCAACCCAAGGCAGGACCTAACCCCTAGGGGGGAACCGGTGAGGCAAGGGGGAAGCAACACAGGGACGACTGGACAATTAGCAGTTCGGCAGTACGAAACCCAAATCAGCAAGGAAGGTCCTTTGAGCTTCGGATAGGTGATGGTACGTGCCGATACAGTACGCCGAAAGTGTAATGCGGTTGGCACGATCCCACTCACAAGTGCAGTGGACTTGACGATGGGCCTGGAAAAAGAGGGCCTGAGTAGTAGTAGTAGTAGTAGTAGTAGTAGTACTAGTAGTAGTAGTAGTAGTAGTAGTAGTAATAGTAGTAGTAGTAGTAGTAGTAGCGGTGGTGGTAGTANNGCAGCAGTAGTAGTAATAGTAGCAGCAGCAGCAGCAGCAGTAGCAGTAGCAGTAGCGGTAGCAGTAGCCGCAGCAGCCGCAGCAGTCGTAGTAGTCGTAGTAGTGGTAGTTGTAATGGTAGTGATAGCGGTTGCGGCAGCGGTAGCGGCAGCGGTAGTGGCAGTGATACAGCAGCAGTAGCAGTAGCAGCAGCAGCACCACCACCACCAGCACCAGGGTGAGGACCAGCACCAGGACCAGGACGCCGTGGCAGTAGCAGTAGTAGGAGCAGTAGGAGCAGTAGGGGCAGTAAAAGTGGCGGGAGCGGTAAGCAGCAGCAGCAGCAGCAGCGGCAGTAGTAGTAGCTCTTGTATGCTCGTCTAGTGTTCAGCGTAAAGCGTAAAGGGATCATATCGCTGTTTGCGGTTCCGCGGCTCCACTAAAATCGGGCTCGTTCCAGTCCCTCGCCCTTTGCTGGTGGCACAGTACGGTGCGCACATCCCGTTCGCTTCCGCTTCCCGAAATCGCGCTTCCCCCACAGTGCCGTGCATATGTTGGTCGCGATTTTTGTGTTTCCACCACAGCTACTGTCATTTTCAAAGTCGCACTCGCACTGGTGCCGTCATGTGCCGTCGCGCTCCCGCCAGCGTGGAGTGCATTTTGGACTCAGGGATATCTTGGGAGCCTGAGGGGTGTCCCGGAGTGGTTCCTTGGACTGTAGCTGCAGGGTCCGGACTGCCAAGTGCGCTTCCACATCTTTGTCGCATAGCAATGGCAGTAGTAGCTGTGTTTTCAATTCGTAGGTTATAGATGTCATAATGGCAACCATATCCAATCCTAATGCTAATAGTAAGCATAACATTGGTCATGAGACTCGTCATCATGGGAGTGATACTATAGTAACAACACTGGTGCTACGATTGCTTCGAATAGTAGCAACACTGAGAGAAGATAGTGGTATTGAATTGCCGCGGCCGCTTGTTTGCTTGGTCGGAAGTCTCTCTGCGGGCCGGGCGATGAGGAAGTTGAACTGCTTGCACAACTCGAAGAACTTGTCGTGCTCCTCGTGTGTGTAGTGGATCAACCTCGGACAGCTCAGCAGTCAGCTGCGAACCATTCGTGTCTGAAGGTCTGCAGGTCAGCAGCAAGCTACACCGAGCTTCGACGCACAAGGTGAAGACTGTTTGATCATCCCTACCATACCGTCGAAGCACTCCTGATCTGAGTCGTGTGCTGGCAGCTCATTCCAGATGTGATCATGCCGTTGGCGAAAGGGATGGAGTCGTAGCCTGGGGAGTCGGATCAGGACGCATGCCTATTGTCCGGTTTCAGCTCTGGCCCCAGGGAGACTTCAAGCCATGAGCTGTCGACACACCACAAGCCGAAGAGCTTTATCTGAACGACATGCCCAGGCACGATGGCCGTTGTTGCTCTTGTCAGAGCCACCGTAAGGCGCATCTCGGACGTAGATCCTGGATGGTCTAGACCCAAATTCAAGGTGATGGAAGCAGAAGCCTGAGTCGTAGCCTTGCAGTGGTTCCTGTACTCTCTGACGGGGACCGCTATGCTATGCAAACCGTGAGCAGTCTCTGCAGTCCCAGGAACTGGCACAGGGCTCCCTTGAACTTCGGCTCTGCGGGCTGCGCCAGCAAGCCCTGAGCGAAGGAAGGTTCCGCTAGCGCGGAAGCGTGGGAAAGTCCTCTTGGGGACCGGCCTTGTAGTCCGTGGCCACCACCTTCACGGCCTCAATGAAAAACCCACAAAAGCGGTGCTCCACACAGCTGTGCCATGCTGTGCCGCTACGCTTTGTGCTTGTCGAAAGGCGTTGCAGTCCACGGGGCCGGGACACGCGTCGCCCGGCAAACCACCTAATAGGAGGATCAAAAAAAAAGCAGAACAGCGCTGTGGGCGGATGGGGAAGGCTAGGGGGAAGGCTAGGACGGCTAGGGGGCCAGCGCCTTCCAGCGCCTTCAGGGCCTCGGAAAGCTTCTTCACCTCTTCCGGGCTGGCTTCGGAGAAGGCATGTTTCAGCTCCTGGACGTCGAGAGAGACTGAGAGTCTGAGAGCAAACTCCGCGATCTCCAGATCCCTTTCGTCCTCGACGGTGGCCTTCTTGGCAGCTTCCGTGGCGGACGAAGCTCCGGCACCCATGCTGGCGGAATCGGGTAGGCCTCAGCAGTTCTCGAAGTATGTCCGACAGACCGTGCAATGCTTGCCACTGCCCTTCCCTCGCGGCTCCGGCTTCTCAGGGCTTGAGTGGCGCTTCAACTCAAAGGCGGTGCCAGCCAGGGCGCACAGCACGAAAGGCGAACGGCGCAGGACTCGCGAAGCTGGAGCCAGAGACAGAGACAGGATGCGGCAAAGAGCAGGTCTTGGCGTCGCAAGAGTAGGCTCGGGATTCCCTAGAGGAAGCGATGGATGCTCAGACTTGACGACGGAAGCCGTCGGAAAAGAAGAAAGCTGTGCTTGAAAGCCGTGCCATGTGCCAACCTTGAACGTCGACACGATTGGTGAGCTCAGCTAGAAGCTGCACCGTCTCCTGCACGCATCCCGCACAGCATGCTCCCTTCCAACTCTTCGAGTTCCCAGTGCCTCCCTACACAGAACGACACGGGCAGCAGACATCCCACAGCTACTGCCGCCGAGCCTGGCAGCGCTCGTCCGTGCCCCCTGCGGCAGCCAGGAGCTTCTCAACCAAAGTGTCCTGCCAATCTGTCGCCCTCATGCCGATGCCCCTTCTTCCGATGCCGAAACACACGTCCGCTTGTTTCAACCCTTTGCACCAGCCGCTTCGCACAGCTCAGCTGGCATTCGTGGCCAACTTCTTGGCGGCACGCTTCCTTTGGCGATGCCAATGATTATCAGAGCGTCGCGCAGCGTGTGCATTGCGTTGCATTGCATCTCATTGCATTGCAAGCCTTGTGCCTGCATTGGCCTGTATTGGGGCCTGGATTGTGCCAACATTGCGTCGTCGCGTCATGTCGCGTCGGGTCGCTGCCCCATGACTCTCAGAGCCGATGGAAGTCTCCATCTTGGGCGGCAAGAACGGCGGGATCTTCGCCTCGCATCCACACATTTGGCGTCGGCGAAAGCGGTTCTTGCTCGACTCATCTCTCGGAGGGCCTGGGCACGGCGGTGCCCTCCTTGAACACGCTGGAAGCTGGCTGTTGCACACCTCAAATCTGCAGCATGATGGTGTCCACCAATATGCAACCTTGATGTGTTCTATGCGAGTTTCAGGCCCGAGAATCTGGCCCAATGACAGCTGAAGATCTTCATGTGAATTTTCTGCGAAAGTCTCATGCCTCCTCTGTCGCTAGCTCTTCAGTTCTGCCTCAAGAACGCGAGAAGACGCTCTGGTAGTCGTAGACCGTAACATCCGACGGACAAGAGCTCCAAATCCTGCCTGGTGTGGGGAAGCTGCTCAGGCGTTGCAGGTCCTGCCGCAGTCTCATGGGATTCCAAGAGATCTGCTCCGGGCTACTGTACCTCTTTTCGTTCCGCTTGGAGTGGGCGGGGTTCCCGGGGGCAGGCCACGGCTCCTCTGCTCTGGCCTGCGCCGCTTCGCCGCTGCGGAGCCAAGCGGCTGCCTGCTGCACAGGGCGAAGTTTCCAATAGGGAGCACTGCCACAAGACGCACACGTCCACACACATAAACAGAACACACTGCACGACACTCGCATGACTCGCATGTCGCATCTGCTCGACCACTACGGCTCGCAACGGCTGCATCACCTCCTGCCTCCGGACAAGACGGGGCCACAACCTGTGCCAATCGCTTTGGCGGTGCACTTCCAGAAGGAGCCCCAGGCCCGAGAAGCCCTAAGCCCTAAGCTGACTAAACCCTAAACTTGCCAGTCAATGCCCGCCAATGGATCACTTTGGCTGCCCCGCGCGGTGCCTCCGCCACAGCACGCAGCCGCCGCAGCTGCGAGGCGCCACGGAAGGCGGAGGGATCTCAATGAGAACATGGAAGCTCTTGCGTGAGCTACCACGCACACTTAGAAATGCCGCCAGAAACCAACCAACACTGAGCAACATCGAAATCTCGGGTCATGGCCGAAGGCAAGAACTTTCAAGCCTGCTTCGCGAAGCTGGCGTCGCCTCGCGGCAGCACAACGTCAGAATGTTTCGAACTGATGGAATGATCTCTCGGAGTTGCCGCTCGAAGTTGCTCCCGCAAAAGCCCCGCCTCAGCCGCGCAGTCCCGGAGAGCCCACCTCCCGCAAGGCGGTCGCCGAGCTGTTCCTGGAGAAAGCGAAACCCTTGAAGCCCCTGCCGTTGCAAGGCCTCCACCAGACTCGGCTATCGCATGGGCCGAGCTCCAGCTCCAGTGCTGCGCTCTGCTCCGGAAACCAGACCTGCCACAAGAGACACAGTCACCTTTCCTGCAACTGCATTTCCAGCAAAGCAGCCGGCAATGCCGGAATGCGATAGATTCCTCCAGGGACTGCGGCCGGGGAAGCCACGACCTCGGCGCAACTCGGCGAAACGTAGCCGCTGTTATGCACCGAGATGCGTTGAAGTGGTACTGCAGAGCACCGACTCTCGGCTAAGTCGCATGGGGGATTCGAAGGTGCTGCAGCAGGGCCGACAGCGTCTTTTCTGCCTCTCCCGTGACACAACATGCTGGCACCACTTGTCTGCCTCCGTCAGGTCCTCCGTCTGCGGCGGCCGCCCGTGTGACCCAGCAGATGCGCTGCGCGGTGCATGTGGCCCATCCGCCAGCACCTGGAAAAGATGCTTCCCCTCCTCGCTTCCCCTCTGACAGCTCGCCCCTGACCAGCATGGAACCAGAGCAAATTTCTCCATCGCAGAGCTTGAAACCACGGAGGTCTTTGTGAAGCTACGGAATGACAGTACATCCGGAGATTCAGAATTACTTCTGCTGCCGGTCCAGATCCATCAAGCTCAACGCTTGCCAGAACAAGTTGTGTCTGGAGTGGGGCTCAACAGATTGCGCTGGCACCGAAGCCTTGACAGTCTGGCTAGTGGCCGGGCAGAGCCCAAGGCCCCTAATCTCACTTGCCACGAAACCACGAGAGCCAACCACCTTGCAGAAAGAGTTGACAGAGACACTGGGTCTTGGATACATCAGTGCGGGACCGCCTTGCTTCGACTCCGGTTGGTCTGGGCTAAGCTTCAAAGCGGCAGCAGCCAGAGCCGTGCCGTCCTGTCGAACGAAGTCGTGTCAGCTGTCTGGAATTTTTTAAATGATAGTTTGACATGTGACTCAGTGATGCAGGCGTCCTGATAGCCGCTGGAGAACCTGAGCTGCAGGCTATGCAGGCCACGTACATTTTCGGGCGACCCAGTAAAAGAGCGAGAGCCAATGGAGAAGAAAGAACCAATATCGACCACAGCACTGAGGCTGTGAGTCTCCCTCCTCCACGTCGATGTCCTCCTCCTTGAGTGCTTCGGCTTCCTCGATCTCTTCTGGATCGGCGAATTCCTCCACCACACTGAGAGCAGGGTGAGAGTTTAGGAGCCTCGTAGTAGTCCTCCTCCCTCTTGGGTGACCCGCGCGGCTCCGCTTCAGCCTGGCAAGAAGTCCAGTCCGCTGCTCTTCACCTGCTCCGTTTTCAACGATGCACCCTGGCCTCCTTCACTGTCCACTCAGCTGCGGCCTTCTCCGCAGCTTCCGCCTGTGCCAAAGCCTCGGCCTCACGCGCACTTCTGCATTGAGGCCCCGAGTTTGGAATCTTCATTGACCCCATCCCGCGCCTCTCGCTGCTTGCGCTCGCTCTCCTTCCGTAAACACAGGAGAGGAAGACTCGGTTTACCATCCCGTGCCCCTCCTCCTTCCGCGCCCGCTCTTCCTTGCGCGCCCGCTCGGTCTCCTCACGTAGTTCACGCAGTTCCACACGTAGTGACACCGCTGCTTGCGATGATCCGCCTTCTCCTCGGTGTCCTTCTGCTTTGCTGCCGCTTTGGCCTACACGGCCGGAAACATGTCGGCAAGTCCACCGCGTCTGCTTCCGCATCCGCCTTCTCGACTGCCGCCTTCTTTGCTTTGTCGGCAGCCTGCGCGTTCGGTTGCTGGTTCGGCACTTGCGATCACCCCGAGAGCGCCCAAACCTACAAGTAGTTGTCAAATTTCCTGTCGCAACGGGGTATTACGCCCGCGGCCCCGAACAGAGACTAGCCAGCGACAAGAGCCGGACCGCTGAGACTTCATCGATAAAAGGGGCAGACTGTAGGACTTGTTGCGACACGAGGCCAGCGCGGGGTTCTGCGATCACGCCTGCTTTCGGTCCTTCTTGTTCTGCGGAGCTTTCTTTGGCTTCGCATCTGCAGCCTGCCCACACTTCTTCAGCTTTTTTTGAAAATGGAGGCCCTGGTGCCGAGGTCTTCTGCCGGGCAGATCATGCTCGGAGCCTCTGCTGCACTTGGCTCCACCTCTACCTGCCAGGTCACCGTTCACCGTTTCCCTGAGTGACATTCCAACGACTCCAATGGCAATCGGCGAAACCATGCGTAAACAGCCCTGCCAACTCAAGGCACTTGAGACTGCACTGAACAAGCCTATCGGCTTTTTCCAGAGAGTCTGCTCAAGCTATCGAATTGCTTGGTTCCAGCCTCGACGGCCTCCGGCTGGGCGGGTTTCGGTTGTGCCCGCTCCGGCTGGGCGGGCTCCGGCTGGACGGGCTGGATGGCGTCCTCGGTCTCTGGGATGGGGTCAGAACTCGCAGTACGTTGTAGTCACATCAGAGCACACACGTACACTTGCCTGCTTCTTAGCCTTCTTTCCTTTCGGCTCCTTTCCCGGCGGAGCGTGGCCGGAGGATCGTGCAGACGATGTATCACTCGCACGTATGGAAGGTTGCGGAGGTCCTTCTTGGCCATAGCTTTGGCTTCAGCCTTGGCCTATGCACACTCTCAAGGAGAGCTTGCGCAGCAAAACCTGCAGCCGCAAAGCCCCGGCCTCAGGGTCTTCTTGGCTCGCAGGTTTGGGAGCTTCTTCTTCGGCCTCGTGGGATTCTACACGACCGACCCCACTCTGACCTCGGTAAGTCCCGCCTTTGCTGGCACAGTCTCTACCACGGATTCCTGCCACAAGATCGGCAAAACTCTCTCCATTCCCGCAGGGAGCGCGTGTCACACCCCTCGTTGATCGCTTATTGCAGACCTTGCTGGGCTCGATCTCGCTGACGTCGCCAGCAGCGCTTTGGCAGCTGACCTCAAGCGCGTAAGTGAGAGCGAAGAAATTCCAGGAGCCCAGGAGCCCATTCCCCAAAGCATAAAGCCACCAAAGCATTCGAAGCACGGGCAAAAAGCTTGCCTTCGGCACTGTGGCGCTGGAGACTGAGACCTTCCAGTTCACTCGAACCGTCCTATGCTGAAAAGTGGTGAAGAGTGGTGAAGAGATTCGCTTCTTTCACGCACTGGGGCCCAGGAACTGCTTGAATCGAGTCGTCGCCTATCTTGCACTCTGTCTTCCTTGCTCTGATGGTTTCTTGCTGCAAAGAAGCGCTCCTACCGAGGCACATGCATTACTTCTTCGGGTCCCGATGTGGGAGTGGGGTTTATGCAGCGTATAGCGCTGCAAGAAAGATAAGAAAGCGAACTCCTCCGAGCCCACGCAACCGCTTGCAAGCAAATTGTGATCGCTGACATCCACATCTTGGATGGAAACTTCGTCATGCAACCCTTCTAGATCTCCATATCGTCTCTTCCTATGAAGCTTGCAGTCAAGCTTCACTCTGTCGGTCAAGCTCAAAACTCTGCGATGGAACAATTTCCGCATTCTGCTTTTTTGATGAAGAAGTACCTTCTGGCTTGGCCATCATCCGGAGCGATTAGAACGCAAGGTTTTCATCACTCCAAACCAAGTTCGGCAATGCGGGTTCGGAAAGTCGGGAGCGTTGATTGCACGGGCGCCAAGAGCTGACAAAGCAAGCGGAGCAAGGCCACCAAAAACCACCGAAAGTTAGGAACTTGTAATGAATCTGAATCCACTTGGGGAGCGCTGCCTGCAGAGCCGCAGCTGCAGCGTCGTCGAACGACAAGCCCTGAGCGTTTGCGGCGCTCCAGGCGGGGCAGGACAAATCGTTTCAAGTACCACGCCATCCGGGCCTGCCGCAATTGCTCCGCGACTTCCTGTACAGGCTTGCAGAAAAATTGGGTTGCCGACCCCGGGATGGACCGGTCTCTGTAATGCTCTTGCTCCTGAGACCCTGTAGCCGAGCGGCTTGGCACTGCCGGCGAAGTGCACCCAGCCGCTCGCCCCGCTCTGCAGCTGCGCCCAGGACCTTCCGTGGAACGCCACACGGCCAAGCACTACAGTGGCTTTGCCCTAGTTCTGTCAACTGTTCTCTAACGTGTTCCTGCCTGTTGCGTTGATTCATGCGCCGCTTCAGCGCGCTGCTGAAGCCTGGGTTCAAACTTGAGCCAGCCCAGCTTCTAGAATTCTGTGTCTAGGGCTCATAGGACTCAGAAAAAACATTTAATCCAGTGCTATGCATTCACCAGATTTACGGGATGTGGGAGTCTGGGGTTTAAAAAAATCAGGTCAGCATGCAGCCAGGCTTCGATGCATAGCTGGATTCCAACTGCTTGGCCGAGGACTTCACCTGTGCCACACTTCGTTGGGATTTAGGGCTTGGGGTTATCGGTCCTCCAATAGGAGCGGTTTTGGGACAAGTGGACTTCGGCCGGACTCCGAGCCATGCGCCTGCTGCTTCAAATCTTCTGCAGCGCGGGAAACCTGTGCTTGTGGCGTCGGTCAGGCTTCGGAAGAAGGATTACAAGGCACCTTGCACGGCATGCATGCAAACATGGCCCGAATGTGACGAGACACTCAGTGCTGCAACAAGTGATACGCTGACGACTTGTGCCAGAACCATTATCCAGCTGGGTGTCCGACGCGAACCTCTTACTTGGGTGTAGGTTGATGTGCCGGGGTCTGGTGGTGACGGGAGATCGCAGGTCGTGATTCCTACGACCTGGCCTCGAGCAGCTCTGCCTCCAGTTCCGATCGGGCCAGCGCCATGTTCAGTCGAGCAGGCACATGTTGCTGTGAGAGCTGCTATCAAAATGGAGCTTGGGCATTGGCCAGATTCAAGATGGTGCCGCAAGTTCTGACTATGTGAGTTCATTCAGCATCGGATGCTCTGATCGTGTGACGCATCCCAAACAGGTGCGACGAACAAGCAAGTTCGCGATGCGGCCGGCACAACATGCTTCGTCCTCACGCAGACACAAGCAGGCACTCTGGGCGACCGAGGCGTTGACAGCAGCTGACCAAACCGCTGGCTGTTCTGGAAGCTGCTGCCTGGATGCAGGGAGCGTTGCACCCGCCACAGAGTTCACATTTTTTGCTGGCAAACATGAAGTCCCGGTCTGGGCTCCATGCCGGCAGTGCCAAGCCAGCTGCCGCATCGGACGCAGGTCCGGTGGGCTCAAAGCCTCCAGAATCTGATCCTCAGCGCGCGGATTCCGCTTGCACCGAGACACTGCCCAACCAGCAAGACCTCTCGGAGAAGTGCGTAATGAAGGCACGAGACGGCAAGCAATCGTGATCGCGAGCGGAGCTGTACATACAAGTATCATTTGTGGGGGGGGAGTCGGGACTTGCATGCCCTTGGTCGGACGACATCGCGTTGCTCCTCCGTATCTCGTCCTGCAAGGGCCCGGCCTGTGGTGCGCCCTAGCAAGGCCGCTTCGGCACTTCGATCGATATTGATATTGACAGCGTTTTTGAGAAGCTTTGTCCACAAACGTAGCGAAAGTTTGATCAAGTAGATGGGGAATTGAGCAATATTTATCACCTCCACACCATCTTCCCTCTTGCTTCATGCAGGGAAGAAAACATGTCCGCCACCTCAAGCTCTGCCTAAGCCCTCTGGCCCCCCGCTTTCCGTGTGGATTAGCGCTTCGGGGTCACCTGCCACTTCGCTGGATGGTCTGCCTAGTGTCTGCCTTTCTGTCTTTCGCCGGGCCATCAGATCAAGACCCCGCGGGCTCGCGGTGGCAGGATGCTCGGAACTGCCCACTAATTTCAGGGTGCTAATCCAACGGCTGCTATCGGGTCATTTGTTCTTAATGGCTCCGCCCAAACCCCACCCGGCTATGCCCGCGCACACGATGATCACAGGATTTAGTAAGTGAATCGGCGTAACCCACACCTGGACCAAAACCATGAGAAACCGGCCATTTATCCGTATTCTACAGCGTCTACGGTTCGTGGCTCACAGGACACGGCAGCTAAGTGCGGGGTTAGCCCCATGCACATAACGCAAAAGACCACCTTACAGCCCCTCTCTTCAGTGCATCTGGTTTGGGGCCCGGGCGTGATCGTCCGCGTCACCGAGCGCAAGCAGTTGCCGGAGTTCGGCCTCGGGTCCCTCGAAGGCAAGCAGGGCCCACCTGCAGCCGCAGCCCTAACATCATGACGATCTGATGTCGTCTCAAAAGCCGTCATTTGCAGAAAAGCCACGCGAGGCGCAGAAAGCTCACCTCAGGGGAACAAGGCCTGGCCTAGCACGGCCACCGTGGCAAACAAAGACGCCAAGGCGTCGGAGCTGCGGCCCGCGCTTTCTCCTCGATCGCGCTTGGAGTCGCACCCGCCTCACAGCTCCGAGGCGCATGAGCGGCGCATGTAAAGTTTCGGCTGATCGAGTGCTGAGCCCGGTGCCGCCGCCAGACGAGAAAGAAGTGCACGCGCAGCGCTGGCGTGCACGCCCACCTGCCATTTTGCCGCAGACTTTCGCATTGCATCGCTTTGCCTCCGCAGCTTTGCCGCTGGCGGAGCCCAGACATGGCACCTCTGCGCAGGCCCAGCAGATCCTCGCTGCCGGTCCCACCTGCAGCTGCCAACATCTGCCAACGGTCATGAGGGTAGTTTTCTAAATTAGGGTCCAAGGGTGCCGCACTATATTGGGGACCCAAAAAGGGACCATAATCTAGAGAACTACCCATGAAATGACTCAACGAGACCGTAGCCATCAGGAAGGCCCGCAGGAAGGCCCCCGAGCCTCGATGTCCATGTCTTCCAAGAGCACACCTGGAAGCTTTACTTCTCAAGGCTTCGCACTCCCACAGACTCCCACACTTGCTGCAAAGACACCCAGAAGATCGCGGAGCGCTGGCCCATCGAAGCCCAGAGCAGCGCAGCCGAAGGCCGTGTCTCAGCAAGACTTGGGCGGATCACGGAACCTGTGCTTCAACCGCCGTCAGTGTGCCTGCCGCAAGCTTGCGCACTGCTGGCTGCCGCACAGCAGGGATGAGCTCCTGCGCATCCACTCCAATAGTTGCGCCCACTTCCTAAGGGACGAAGGCTTAAGGCTTAAGAATCGAACATCCTTTCCGTCTCATAACAAACCTCTCATTTCAAGACTATACGGTGTGCTTAGCCGGTAGCTGTGTAACAAGCCATGGCTGGACCAGTGCAACTAGCGCCACTCGGAAAACCTACTGGCGCTGGTCACTCCGTAGAGTCTCGGCATGTTCAGCCATCACCGACCCGACCCAACTACCCGTTAATGATATCAAGGCACTCGGCCCACGGCCCAAATCCCATTTCAATGTTCCAGCTTCCAACATCGAGACCTATGCGGGAGCCAGCATCCTGAGCATCAGAAGGCATCCTTTTCGCCATTAGCGTGAGCTTCTCCACCCCACGGTGACAATGCCTTATCGAGATCAGGCCGCACCACCCCTCAAACCAGCTGCTGGTGCGAAGCCAGCAGAGGTCGTGCAATTGACCTACAGAGCTTAACTTCAAAGAGAAGCTCCTAGAGTGAGCTGTCGGGAGCTGTCGTAACATCCAAAAGGATTCCCCGTCCTGCGCGACTTTTGCCAAGGCACGCTGGAGGGCCTCTGACTGCTGCGCCTTCCAGGCAAGATCTCCATGAGGCTCCGACGGCGGCACCGCAAACGAAGCGGTGCCACTGAAAACATCTGCAAAGCGCGACTAGTTCTTGGCCTCACTGCGAGCTTTCGTCAGGATGTCCTCGTCCTCGTTGGGGTGGTCGCCAGGCATAGGCGCCAAGACCGGTCAGGACTCTTTCAAGCAAGCTTCGGTACTATCGTTCGACTGGGCGCTACGATTGCCATTCCCCACTACATTTGTGGCCTTGATTTGGTGAACCCTTTAACTGTCGTCTTGAGGCGCTGCTGCGTAAGTGCGGATTTGATCAAATCGGTGAAAAACGTCGAGCGAATAAGATGTAACAATGCCACAACCCAACAAGAGTTAGGGAGCATATCTGCGACAGAAATTACATCTAAATGCTGCCCCCCGCTCTACATGTGGGGGGACAGAGCAGAGCTCCAGACAAATTTGCCTCTGGGAGCAAGTAGTTTGAGACATTCAATTCCAAGAGCCTTCTGCATGCCGGGAAACTCGAAGGGTCAAGGCGGCCAGCAACCTCTCCCGCAGCGCTGGTGGTGCGGACCTCGCAGAGCTGGCCACAGCAACGCCCAGAGGTGCTTTGATTTGAGTTGCTTCGCTTGCTTTGCAATCTCAGGCACTGCAGCTGTCGTGGCAGCTGGGCCATGGAAGCGCGGACGAGGCGCCCGTCCATGCCTCGGCACTGGCGACTGATAGATCCGATTGCACTGGAAGAGCTCCGCTGCGTTTGAATTAGCAGCTGCAAGCGAAAGAGTAAGGCCCGTGAGGCCCTCGCCACGATCCGTCAATGCCCTGCTGGCAGGGAGCCACTCGATGAGCTCTGTGGCGAGCTCCTCAGCTTGATGTGAGAAGTCGCTAAGCTCGGCTTTGCTGATGGTCAGAGCTGTGGAGGCCAAGGCTGCCGAGTCGCAGCAGGTGCATACCAACCGACTCCCCTGAAGCGACAGGACACAGAGGGCAGCAATCCAAACGTGCACGGTTGAAGCCCATGGCAGATGCCGAAACAGACAAGACCACGATAAATCTTGCGCAAGGATGTCTTTGCACGTGCCGGCCTGCTGCCCTTCTCCAGCCGCCCGCGCAAGTGCTTCATCCTCGGCAATTTTCAAGGGGGCTTCAGAACGAAGCCCCATCGGGCGGTCTTGCTTGGCGAAGTGGCAGCGAGTCCGGCAACTCCGCCACGCGCAGCGCAGGTGGGAGACGGGGCCAAAGCTGCAGGAGGGCCAGGAGCTCCTGGAGCCACACGAATTTGCGAGCGGGTCATGCACACGGAATCTGCAGCCTCCACCAGGTACTTTGCCTGCTTTTCAGCAGCAAGCCTTAAAACAAATGATTAGGGTTCAGGACAGCAGTGCAACTGCGGTGAACCGAACTCGGCACAGCAATGGACAGCTCATGCCAGGCTTGGCTGGCAATATGCAACCTGGGCACGCCCAGAAAGTCTTCAGAAAACCTGTCGTGTTCAGAGGATCCAGCACCATAGGGTGAAAGCTGAGACGTGGCAGCGGCGCATATTGATCTCCCAGCCTGGATGCTGGACGTTGGCTGCATCGAAGCCCGCCAGCACCCGGAGGACATCGGGTGCGGAGAAGGCCGAGGCACGTGTCAGAGCCTGGAGCAGAAGCTCGGCGATTCGTTGGGAATATCTGGGGTAGGCGACTACGTTTGCAATGTTGCACTGAGTCGCAATGGTACATGACTGTTACCCAATGTTATCCATATGCCAAGGCCGATGGCCAAGGCAAGCTTTCCAAATGCCCATCGCAAAAATCTCACAATGCGAAAATCTGCCATCACCGTCCAGTGAACACTCCTGTCGAGAGGGCTGTTGACAAAAGAAGCACAATGCATATAAGGCGCTTCTTTCGTCAAGGACTGCCAGAGCGCATTCCCCCGCACCTCCCGATGTGACATGCTATGCCAGCTTATGCCAGGTCGCACCTGGCCTTTCCTTCGCCGAAGCCGACAGCCAGCCGTGCCAGCTGCCTCGGCGACAGCATCGGCGCCAGCTGCGTCGCCCGGTCCTCGGAGAGTGTAACCAGTTCGCTCCGCCTGTGGCCTTTCGGCTTTCTGAGCCCCAAGCTGCGAGGAGGACGAGCAGCTCCCTGCACCGAAGGTACCGCATGCACCGTGTCCAGTCCGTTGGAGCCCTCAAATCAGGGCCTGCAGTCAGCCGCAAAGGGGCTGAGGCAGGGAACCGAAAGTGCGAGCCACTGGCCGTTCAAGGCGCTGGGTGATCTCGCCTGAGATGCGGCAGGGCTTCGTTTTGAAGACGCTTTGAAGGCAACGGGTGTCGTGTCGCTGTGCGACTGCCGCAATCAATGCTTACGCCAGGAGGCAACTGCTGCTGACAGCTGCTTCACAAGCTGCCGTGCTTCCCGATCCTCCGGCTCAAGCAGACCAGCCTGTTTCGCGAAATCGCGAAATCCGCTTGCGACGGTCACAGTGCTGCGACAGGAGCCTGCGAGAAGCTGACAAGGAGGCTAGCGGACTCCTGGACGGCACGGGATAAAATAAGCGATTAGTCGGAAGTACTGTGCCGCCAGCGGCCGCTCGTCCTCGCCTTGGCGCTTAGCTCCCCAGTCGCGAGGCGCCGCGGCACTTCGCCTCGCAAGGCTCCGAAGAAGCTCCTGCAAAGCCGGTGCATGATGATGCATGGAAGCGAGGGCAGACGTGGTGAGCTTTTCCTTTTCAAGACGCTGGACACCGTTACTTATACTCGAAGCTCACTCTGCATGTGCAAAGGACGGTGTGTCTTGCAAGCTCCTGTGGGCACTCTTGGCCACCTCGGCACGAGAAAGGGAGTAGGCGAGCGCCGATAGGTCATCGCCTGCAGCCATCGACAGGCATTTGTTGGGCAGGTCGTGGCTGCAGTGATCCGTGGTGATTGCTTCAACAGCAGATTGTGCCTCCACAGCTTTCCAGGCGAGGTGAGAGCCAGTTCATCAGTGCCCCGGCTAATTTGGTATCCACGAAGCCCAGCAGGGAGAATGCAGATGCTGCGTGACCTTGACGATTTGATGGTGCTGATCTTGCAGGTAAGGACTCTACCACAACGCTTCCGGAAGTAGCGGAAACAACTGCTGAACTGCTAAACCCTGTACAAGTATATACGGCCGAGAGCGGGCCAAGCAGGATGCAGCTGTATGCATCAGAAGGCAAGAGGAAGAGCCCCGACCGTCCGAGTCAAGGGCGAAGCGAAACGAAGAAGCCAAGCTACAACTTCAGAGTAGGTAGTGATATTGAGGCAAGTTGGGCGCAACAGCTCACTGGACACAGTATGCCGCGGTTGGACTCTTGCAGCTCGAGGGCGCAGCTTCCGGCTGAGCACCGAACGGACTTCCCTCACACCAAGCTCACCCGCGGTAATGTGCGCTCGCAGAGCAGTGGCCTCGAAAGGGGCATACTTGTGAACGGCGGCTTGAGGAACTTGAGGCTGCATCCCGAGCGTTTCCTGCCTCTTCCTGCATTCCAGACACTGACAATCGAATCAATCAATACTCACTAAGTTGCCAAGCCCAGCCACCAGTGATGTGAAAACTGCGTCATCGCGAATCTGAAGCTTTGCCAGACCGTCTGCGATGAGTATGGTGTCCATCGCCTAGGATCCAGTGATTCCGCGAATTTGCTGCTGGCTTGAATGCTTCTGCGCCAAGAGGCTGATGTGGCGCCAGGACCCAGCGCCTCTGCAAGCTCTGCTGGCTGGCAACCGCAGACGCGCACCGCAGCACGAGTGCAGAGATAGCCCATGCATGCCGACATGATCTATAGTCTCACGACTCTTGGTCTGTACTTGCCTCCTGTTATGTGAATGCATTGACCAAAACCACTCTAGACTCTAAATGTTTTTCAATCGTTCCGCGAATACCATTGTCACCAGAATCCTCAGACTGAGAAACAGTCCAGACTCATCTTGCACCCGAGGAGCCTTCTGCCGCCGCCGCAGCTCCATGTGGAGAGCCTGTGCAGGCTTTCTTTTTGTAATGCTGTCTGCTTCTCCAGATCTAAACGAACTCTGGTGACAAAACACGCTCATCAAACCTTCCAACTCATTCTACTCTACATAGATTCGCAGAGCACGTGCATGGATTCCTATTGGCTGGCTTCCCGCACTCTGCTGTTCTTCACGTTCCACTACTCTGTGATGACAACCTGGTTCGGCTCCAGAATCGTGCAGTGCCAAACCCACCTCGAGATATGGGTCACATAGGACACACCTCTAACTTAGGAGAGACTCTGGACAAAAAACATCTGAGCAGTCTTCGCAATGGTGGAGGAAACCTTCAAGCAGCTGTCTTTCAGCCAATCGCTATTTTCATTGACCGACCGACCCTGAAGCCACCAGAATAGCAACGCCTGCCTCCAGCAGCCGCTGGGGCTCCTGCCGGCTTGGGGGTCGGGACTCTTAGCTCTGTCATCTTAGCTGTTGGAGCTCCTCACTTTGGAGCTGCACCAAGCCCGCCGCCTGTTACTCAAATCTGCTTGCACCATGGCGTCTTCCAGCCCCCAACCTCGTTCCGAGTCTCGCCTCGAGCTTTGCGAGGCTGTGCAAGGCTGTCGCCAACTGATGACCTCGACATCTCACAGCTGTTGTGTGAATGACCCCAGAAAGAGCGGGAGGAGCGAAGAAAAACACGCCTCGCTTCCTTTGAGGCCCTGGCCAGAAAAACTAACCGCAGAATCCGCGCCTAGGCCCAGCAGCTTAGGCAGCCAGGCAGGTGCCAAGACCAGCCGCCCCAGAGCCCAAAGCCTCAGGGTACCAGGACGCTGGTACCGTGCGGGGCTGTGTCTTTGCCCAGCCCTCTCTCAGCCCAGGCACAGGCAAACACGGGCCTGCGCTGAGAGCACTTCCAGTGCCTGCTGAATCTCGACTACTCTCCAGGGTTCTGCTTGCAAAGAGGCCGAGATTTCAAGTCTTCTTGTTGCTCAGAAACACTCCTCGTGCATGTGATGCAACCGGCCTCCGGCTGTGCAAGCCGCTTCACCAGCGCGCTGCGCACAGGGTCCGAGACGAAGGCCTTGCCCCCCGCATACAGTCAACGCAACTGCCAAAGCATGTCAAGCAACGCAACCGCCAACGCCCTTGGCCTCGGCAGATCCAGCGCGGCGGGCGCCGAGTCGTGCGAGGCGGTGCAAGGCCTCTATCAGAAGGTTTGGGTCTTGGTGTCCTGACTATACTGCTTGATCTGTTCCATTCTGTTCCTATTGTTCTGCCCACGGCTTCACTGATCGTATTGAATGTGGGCTTAGTTGCGGTGGCGGCGTGAAGTGAGTCGAGGCTGTCGATGTTGTCGCCTCGACAGGAAAATCAAAGGAGCCTTCAGTTGCAAAAAAACTGAATTCTGCTTCGATCCTTCATGTGTGCCGATAGCTTCATCAAGGAAGCAAAACAGGAACAGGCAGCATGCTCCATGGTGGCTAAATGCATCTGGGTGGCTTACAACCTCCTCAGGTCATGGAGGAAGGGAACAGATCAACTAGGCAGGAATGCTTGAACGTCATGGTGAAGTAAAGCCAGGAGCACTAGCCACACTTGCCCCAGCTCTTGCTTTTGTCAATTCTGAACGCGAGGTACCAGCCCCCTAAGTAGGACCATTTCAGGAAAGCTGCCAGCACGTGTCCAATACTCCTGGCAAGGCCGCTTTCGAGGTGATAGGAGAGTCTCGGCTCTCTTGAGTCTCCTGGACCCAGCGATCTTCGCTTGGACCAGTGCCGCATCCGATGCGCTGGCCTGCCCGGAGCCGTCTTGAACCCGGAGACCCGTCGACTTTCCGGCGCATGAACCCTTTCAGCGTTCAAGCGGCCTCGTCTGGCCTGTCCTCCCTCGCTGGGAGATCCACCGTTATGAAGTCCAAGTCCTCCTAGAGCTTTTGGAAGTATCGGGGAGATGGACGAGTACCCTTCTGCTTCTACGAGACCTGCTGTGGCGTGGCTTCTCTCATCAGTCTTATCTTGTCTTGAAACCGAGTGTGGCCTCGGCAAGTCCTGGCTCGCCCTCGAGTACGCGTGAGGCAACACCTAGTAGCGGGGCTCCACGTGATGCACGAACACTGTCATCGTGCGCATGCTGCATTGTTGCAGCATGCTCGCAAACCATGCCGTATGCCTGGATCATCAGCCGCTCTCGCATCCAGCGCGGCCAGCCTCGTCTTGGGAGCTTCGTTCTTGTTTCGGCCATGTTTGCCGTGTTTCGGATTCTCAACCTTACTTTAGGCCAAGAACTGGGCATTGATCTAGCCCTAGGCTCGCGCGGCGTGCCACACGGAGCGTAAGGCAAAACCAGCTTAAAGGCACCATTTCGCCTACGGACCACAACAGCGCCTTATGCAGCATCAACGCAACATCAACATCACCATTATGCACAAGAATTTGGGAGGGGGGATTCCAGCCTCAATGCAAGAGGCTCGTAGGGCGGCGGATGTGGCCGCGTCCTGATGGACATCTTAGCAAGGGTATCCGAGTCTGTGCGCATTGCACATGTTTAGATACATGTTCAGTTCTGATGGCGATGCTATTGCATCAAGATGAACACCGTTCCACCTGCAGTAAGCCATCAAGTTCTGCACGACTTTGGAGGACATTAACACAGGCAATAAATGCAGACGCTCAGCAAGCAACAACAGCTTCACAAGTAGGCATGAGCGTTTTGAACGTTTCATGTTGCCTCTGTTGTCTGCTGTTGCGTAACGCCTGATGGCTGCTTCCTGTCGGGAAATAATCTGGTAGAGGACCTCCGGGTCGAGCCAGGCGGGCGCTGCTTCTCTCGCGCCTCTGGCGCTCGGCGGCTTGTAGCCTTGGGTTTGGCAAACCGAGCGTGACCCCTTCTTTAGGGCTATGATGGGCTATGTGACTGTGTGTCTAAGAGTCGCCCACCTATGGCCCGCTGTGCGGCCGGCGCACAAACCACCGCAGCTCGGGCAGCTCGGGTCGGAGGCTGCGCAGCAGTCGGAAGCGTAGGCACAACATGACAAGCGCAGGCTGCCGGCTGCTTTGTGCGCGCAATTTCTTGGTGATGTCCTTGCAGCTTTCATTCCCTTGTAGCAGGATTGGATCGGCAGCAGCCGCGTCGAGTGGGTCCCGAAACTTTGAGCCGTAAGCTGAAACCAACTGCCTTTTGTTTGCAATCCCTCCCAGGCGGTCGAATCCATGTTCTTTTTTGCTTCCCGCCCGCTCGAGTCATGCGAGTCCACAAAGCTCCAAACCTCGCAGTTCAGACTGTGCTGTTCCCGCATGGACTGACATAACTCCGAGCCCGAGGGCTGGGCCAAAAGCATAGCCGGCTCGGTCAGAGACAGAGCGGGTTTGCCCCTGATGACTTGCGTCGAAGCTTGCGAGCGGCCGCTTCGGCTATCTTCGGCTCCCTGCCTCGATTGCTTCAGCGTCATCTCTGCAGCCTGCAGAAAACGATCGGGGCACATTTCCGGCCAAGTCGATTGTGTCGGGGGATCTCGGATGCCTCCTCCTCCGGCCGCCAGGCCGCCTCACTTCCTCTTCTCCAAGGCTGGCAGCTTCGTCGCCATGACCATGTCCACAGTCTGCACACGGGCAGCTGGCCGAAAGTGCCCCGCCAGCAGTTAAAAGGTGGAGAGATCAGAAAGCAACAGGTTGATGGCGACCACCGAAAGCACACCAGGACCAGGCAAGAAGCCGGCCTTGTCCCTAATCGAATCGATTTCGTCGAGAGCCTTGCTCACTTCACCGACCTCAGTAGTATCACCAAGAGCTGCATTCCCCAGTAGAAGGAGAGCAGAGACAAGCAGAACACTTTCTGGCCCCGGGGCCGTGACCTCCATCAAGCTGCCGGACGGACTAATCGCGACGATCTCGCCGCTGCTTAGCTTCCCCTGTGCCGAGCAGAAGTTCTGCTTCGAGTCGTGCCAGACAGAGGCCCCGACCTCCAGCTCACCCACATCTCCCAGCTTCGCCAGCTGCTCCTGTTCTCTACCACGCCCAAGCAGATCCGCGGGGAGGCAGGATCCCGGCAAAAGGCTCGCAGACGGCAGCGGCCTGCTCCAACTTGCCTGCCGCAGCCATGTCATCATTTACACCTGGGCAAAGTCGCTGCAAAGCCATAGCAATCAAGCCTCGAGGACATTAGCCTTTCGCATAGGTACGACATGGAAGCCAGTAGCCATGTGTTTGGTGATGCTTCTCGGCAGACTGCACTGCGGGATTCTCAGCGCCGTGCCAAAGAGGACACTGCTGTACTCTTCGCACTCAATCTGGTACCTGGCTTCTCATGTCTGTCACCAAATGCATGCATGCAGAGATACATACATGCATATACTTATCTACTCACATGATCTTGACAAACATGGGACATTGAACATAGATGTGTGCACTTTGTAAAGGGCAGCGGAGAGCTAGACATGGCCCAAACTTCAGCAGCCGCACTTGCGCTCGATCTCAGGCATCTGGGCAATGGCTTCGTCCATGGAGAGCGCCTTCCCAGATGAAGGAGGAGCCCCACGAGCATCAAACAGTTTACGTGGCGCTTTGCGATTTGCCTTCGCCGCTTTCCAGCGCTCCTCGTGCTCCTCGGCATAGGCCTAAGTAGCGAGACGTCGCCCGGTCGTCCCTCGTCGCTTGCCTTGGGCACTGGCCGCATAGATGTCGTAAGCCGGATCCGACTTCTTCAGCCTTGCGCCAAAGAGGCTCTCCAACAAGCATAGATCTGAAGAGAGGGCACTCAGAGTGCACTCAAAGCACTCGAGATCGAGTTGTCGAGCTGCTTCAGCCTCGAAGCTTGGCTCGGACCCTCTGACTTCGAAGGAAGCTCTGCACTCACTGACAGTCGAGTTGTAACATTGCACCTGGTTGCACCTGTGCTCCACTTCCTAGCATCGTCTCCCTGGGCCTGCGCATGAATGCATCCTTCGACGACTCGCCTGGGCCAGCGGATCAGAGGACGGTCGACTCGAAGCAGGCCCAGCACGGGTCACAAGAGACGCAGTATTATGGGCGCGATGTGCAGGCGCTGAACTCAGAAGCAGGATATCCCTACTTTTCATAGCTTCCTACGAGCACAAGCGGAATCAGCAGCCAGCCTGGCGCCGTGAACCAGTTGCCTGGCAAAGCGTGATCGCCAAGGAGGGGAAAAAGTCTCAAAAAACTGTTCCGTCTTTACGCCCAAACTCCCCAACCTCCAAGGCCCTCCTTGCGCGAGGCCAGGACTTCGGTGAAGGACTCGAAGGCCGCGGCATAGCCGGCCTACCCAGAAGGTACGGCGAAGGCGATGACGGGAGAAATGATGAGGAGGGGAGGCGCGGAGGAGGCGGAGGAAGAGGGGCCAGCTGCCGGATCAGCGAAACGAAAGTGCTGGAAGGAGCTTGTCCAACTGCGAAGGAGCTCGTGTCCACAGCACCTGGACAGAAACGCACACGAAGCAAAGCAAGTCATCGAGCTCCAGCAGGAACTATGAAAGACTTGAGCATTTTGCTGCAGGTCCAGCCGTCAGGTGGCACGACGTACGGTCCAATTCAAGGTTCTGAGACAACATCGCAGCATGGGTACCCGGAAAATGCATGAGCAAAGCATGGTGCACTGGCATGTGGAGCAGCCCGCCTCGTTCCGAAGCCACAGGCCGAGGGTGTAGTTCACGATGGAGTCCACTCAACCCCCCCAACCACCCGCATCCACCAGCCCGTTCCCCCGAGCCCGACTAGTCTCTGCCCGCATCTTTGCAGCAGTTCTCAACGAAATGATTCGAATACTTCACGCCTTCGACCTACGTCTCCAAGCTTTGCTCCTTTCTGTCACAAATGCGGTTCAATGCCAGCCTCGAACTTCCGTCCTGTCATCGCAGCATGGTCTGCCAGGGCCTGTCACGCTTCTTGCCGGAGACCCCTACCAGTGCCCGATAGTGCACCTCCAGGGCACCCCCACCTGGAAGCATTCCACGGGGTCCGGCGTGCTGAGCTCCACCCCGGCAGGCTTGTAGAAGAGGCAATGCACGTCGGAGCCGAGGCTGAAAAAAGTACCTGGAAAGCTTCTCCCCGCATCTCTGAAGCTCTGCATCTCTTTCAGCTGCCACAGTCTTCTCTGCAGAGCAACACAGTCTTGGCGGTCGGTGGATCTGATGGCATTTCGCAATGCCATCAGCACTCCATGCTGACCAGTAGTCGCCTGACCCCCGGTGCGGAGACTATGCTGACTGCACAGCTCTGCTGCCCCCAACCTGTACAATACTTCGAACCTGTGGCAGGTGGTGAAACACCTAAACTGACAAGCTTTGCCACCACATATTCGTTGGTGGGACAGCCCTATGCCCTTCCCTCCATAGACTTGGAATGGGGCGATTGAAATCCTCCGTCACACGGCAACACTGTCAGAACATGTTCCACGCCCCCAGGATGTCGCGCATTCGGATCTGCAGATCGAGCACTGATGGAAAACCACCAAGGTCGAAGTCACGTTGCCGCCTTCCGCCGCACAGAGCAGGTATGGCCCTCGATGTACCTCCCAGTATACATCACCCAGGGACACCAGCAATTGAGCCTACATGAGCCTAGGCCTCGGCCTAAATGGAGTGGCGCACTTCATGACCAGCAGAGGCTTAGCATCCTGAGACGGCGTGACCTGCTTGGGATATCAACGAAGCTCCGCAAGCACCGAAGCAACATGAGGCTCCTGCCTGCGAAGAGGTCTGCATCGCCCTCTCCTGCTGGATGCAAGGAAGGCCAAGTTCAAGCACGCTGCGTAACTGACATCTTCTTGCAACACCCTGACATACATTGACACTCGACATCCTGTTTTCTTCTAGGTGGTTGAGGCATATCCTGTCTCATTCTGTCAAGATCCAAACTATCTCGCCGCATCACCCCATCAATGTCGGCTTTCTCGCGCTTTAACACATTGGGCACTGATTCATCGCCCTGCTGCACATGCCGCAGTCCTTCACTGATGCGCGCCAGCCATTCAGAGAGCATTTGCTGAGATCCTCATACCGAGCGACATGAGCCGAAAGGCATTAGATTGTCTGTGCACATGCGGTCCTTCTCCTTGTCCTTCAGAGCCTGTCGACATCTCACTGGAATTAGGCTTCATGAAAGCCCTTGACAAAAGAGTCGTAGACAAAACACATCTGATCTTCTCAAGCAAACTGCTACACAGATGATGGTACAGAAGGGGAATACGGAATACGGCAAAAGCCTGCATGGATGCATGTCTGTGTACCCTCCTGAGCTCTGCAGCGGATCGTGCAGATTAAGGTTGAACAGGGTAAGACTCAACAACGGGAGGTCACGTCAGTGCTGCGCGGGACGCCACAGCCCTACAGCACCCCATCACGGAGCGAGGGCAGCTAGGGCCTTCTTCTTCGGGGCAGCCTTGGAGCCCGGCTTGCGCTTCACCTCCCACGGCATAAAAGGGGCGGAGGGCTTTTGTTTCCCCTAACGCTGGTCTGTTTTGGTTGCAAACACTGTAAATCGTCAAGCTATTGGGGAATTGCAACTAACAGGGCCCCGTTCTGCGCCAAGCTATTGCGGGAGTGCAATTTCGCAAGCTATTGCGGAAGTACAGTTTGCAGGGTCTTGCTTTGCTTCAAGCCATTGGGTTTTCACAGTTTGCAGGGTTTTGCGCTGTGTCAAGCTACTAGTGAGTTCCAACTTCTAGCGCACTCAAGCTATTGGGGGATTGCAATTTCGAGGCTCCTGTCTTGTGTCAAGTTACTGGGGAATTACAACAGGGTCTTGTTTGGCGTCAAACTATTGGGGAATTACAATTTGCAGGGTTTTGCGTTGTGTCAAGCTATTGGGGAGTTCCAACTTGCAGTGTATTATTTTGCCCCAAGCAATTGGGGAGGCTCCTGTCTTTTGCCAAGCTAATTAGTGGGGAATTCTAATTTGCAGGGTCTTGCTTTGCATCAGGCTATTGGGGAATTACCAGGGCAGCAGAGACCAGAGGACCAAGGGGACCAGGTGGACCAAGGGCCTGGGCCAACCCTACCAAGTTGCAAATACTAGAACACAGCATTTGCTCTTGTTTTGTATGAATCTACTGTGAGGAGGGACCAGGGGACCAAAGGACCAGAGGACCAGAAGACCAGGGGCCTAGGCCAACCCTACCAAGGGCCCCCAGACAAGAGCCGACAAAACCTAGGGCCCACATAAACGGGCGGAACACAAAAAAAAAGCTCGAGATCCCTTAGGGCGCCACGAGGCCGGGGATGTCCCCATCGTCTGCAGCCTGCTTGAACGGCAGTGTGCACTGCAGTGAGAGCAGCCTGATAGCAACTCTAAACCACAGACAACTGCGACGACAGTCCTCGGCATCCTCCATTTCAACATCCTGCTCCTTTCAGACGCGATACATGCTCTTCACTGGCACAGAGATCTCAGTGAAATGAGAAGCAACTGTTCGGTGTAGGTTGGAGATTGCTGCAACCCTGCGTAGACCTCCGGCTTCTCGGAGGTCTGTCCACCACCGCTTTTTCGCCTAGGCAATGTACGGCTGCAAGCCGAAAGCCCTACGCGATCTTCGCTCAGGCGCCCGCCTCCGAGCCGATCCGTCCTGCAGAGCGATTTACGCATCCACGCTTTGTGCTTCCGGACAGTATTTGAAGCAGCTCTGATCCAACAGAGATCCAGTGTCCTCCTCTGGCTTCTTCTTGCGCTTTGAAGCAGCAATCGTGGACATTGACAGGTTCTGCACATCCTGCCCCACAATGCGAAGATGCATCGAGTGCGCGGCCCGGGCTAGGGATGTCTCGCCTGCAGCAGCCGCGTGCGCACGGTCACATCGACCTGCCCGAGCTGAAACTGTCAAGAAATGCTTCCGCTGCAGGTCATGGCCATGCCAAAGGGGGTCCCACCTTCCTGTAGGTGTCCTCAAGCTGCAGTGGTTGACGGAATGCCGGAGCCTGGCATTTTGGGCTTCAGACAAGCGCAATCATTCAAAACAATTCTGCCACAGGCACCTGGTCCGTGAAGAACTCCCGCGTCAGGCCGTGAGCAAGCAACGCCTGCGACAACAGGCAAGCTTCGGCTTGCGAGCTGATGTAAAGTCATGCCAAACAACCATGCCATACCACGCCTCTGCGCACTCTTTCGAGGACCCCTGCGTCAACATCTGCATGAGGCGCCGGTGAAAAACGTCGTGGTAGCTCGACGTGATAAACTCCCGACCTGCGAGCATTGCAAATCAAAGCACTGAATCGGAAGGTCACTACATGTCCTAGCAAAACTTGACATCTGTGATGAGGCTCCGATCCACAATCAATGGTGGACCCTTCCCTACCCCTTCCGGGCTTCCACAGGTAGAGCGCCGGCGGATTCGCGAGCTCAGATCCTGCCACTTCACACAATTAGGCTCGGCGACAGCTGGACGGAGTCCTCTTGTGTGTTTTCATGGTACTATGAGGAGCGATGGCCCCGGTGCTTCAGGCTACATTAGCCACGTGCAGGAAGCAACCATAGCCTTTTTCAGCGATGCGTTTCGAGGAGTGGGCGTCGGAAGAGGATGCGCTTATCCGGGGGCGAAGACTTTGCAGGATACAGTCGTCACAGCACTACTGTCACATCGCCTTGGGTCGGCGACGGTCAGTCCAAGCTAAGGCTCAGCACCTTCGACCCCTACCATGCGAATTCGTGGAATAAGCGTGCAAGCGCTCAGCTCATCCTTAGGCTTCGTCTTTCTCCCTGACCTCAGGAAGCATATGGCGGTCCCGGGCTCCCTACGAACAGGATTGTTGCAGGGCTGCGGCATCGATGGGCTTCTGTACCCACTTTGGCTTCTGCTTGTTCCGCAGGGCTTCCATGCCCTCCTGGGTAGTGGTCATATCAGGTCCCCAAACAGCAGCCTTTGGTCTAGAGGCAATCGTGATTTAGTTTGGGAACTATGAGGCGAAAGCACAGCACTAAATTCTAGGTCGTCAGAAGTGCATCATGTTGTGGGGGCAGAATAGGTTCCACAACCTCTCCTTATGCTACCTGGCAAGCTCATGCGATCTCAACCTTTCCCTGCGTTCGCGCCCCAGCCTCGCACTCCTTTCCTCGCCGGACACGCAAATACTCCTGCCAAAGGTTTCCGAGAGTAACCGCGTGCCAAGAGCTGCAAGGAGTCTGTTTGGACCTCAGGAGTCAGATGATACTCCGAGAGTCCTTGGCGGTGTAGTCGATGAGATTCGTGGTGATCGACTGGTTCAAACAGTTCAGGAGAACTTGCTTTGTGGCCCCCACTGCACCTGAAGCACGGTGGAGTGTCAGAGAAAGCTCTCCGTTCCCCTCACCACGGCCTGGTGCCAACAGTTGGATCTTGGCTGCCATCTCTTTGATGGCCTCGGGCTATATGTTTCCAGCTTGAAGCTTGCACCATTCACCTCCTCGGTCTAAGCATGCGGCCGCCGGAAACTCACGGGGGTGATCCACAATCTTGTGAACCAAACCTGCGCAATGATCCTTTACCGGCCTGTTTGCAGTCCTCATGACACTGCGGGCCTATCTCCACGGCAGTCTGCATGTTGGCATTCTCTGCGGTGCAAAACAATCGTTTGCAGTTGGCTGTGCCGATCGTCCTGCATAAGGACTGCCCCGAACGCTAAGCTTTCTATCTTACGGCACAGGTTCTTCCAGGACAAAGGGGTCAAACTTCGCCTTGGGTCTATGTCGCTCAGACGAGCCCCATGTTCGGATGCACCTTGGGTTGGGTGGTACCGGATTTGCACCAAAAACCGAACATCAACATGCACCGTCCTGGAGACGTGAGGTGAGATGACGGCCGGAATCACTCCCAGCTTGACCTGCTGAGCAGCGGATGATCAATGATACCCATTCGCTGGCTGACCTCTATCTTTTTCCCCGACCTAATTGATTCGAGACAGTCATTGGGTCATTGAAAGACCCAGAAACAAGCACCTCTCAAGCATATCATGACAGGCTCGTAGCATGAATCCTTTCTTTACCTCCAGAACGGAAGTCGGATTTGCGGCCGGACCCTCTTTCGGATATCCGGGGGGGGAAACCAGCATGGAGGAGATCTTCGGGGGTGCGTCTAAGCCACACTTCGCATCCATCTATGAAAACTTACATAGCAGGGCCGGGGCGGGGCTCCTCCAGCTTGTGGGTGACACATCGCCTTTGGGCCTGAATTTCTTGCACTGCAATGCACGAGAAGGGGGGCTTCAAGTCGAAAACACAAAAGGATTCCAAAGATCCAACTTGGTGTCCATGGTCGGGGTCGGAATGTCCAAGTGGAATAGCACGTAGCAAGAATGCATGACTCCGTAGAGGCTGGAGCCAATGGAAGATGACAAGAGCAACACCGGATACCATCCGCTTCTGACGAATGCACAGCTGTAGAACTGTAGAAAGAAAGACCAAGGACACTGCACGAGCCTCTGTGTCTGCACTATGCCAAGATAGTCCTCCGTGAAGAAGCCCTGGCGCCGGGATGTCAGAAACGCCTCCAGCACGTTCTGTGCCTGCTGTCCCTGCTCTCCCTGCTCCGCCATTTTCTTCAGCTGTTTCATTACCGAGACTCCCAAGATAAGGAGCTGGAGCATGGCAAAGAACCAGTTGTACTCGCAGGCATACAGCAGGAAGCACAAGGTGTCAGTGACCATGTCCGCAACATACACCACGAAGTCCAGGTGCAAGTACCGATACATCCACGAGTCCCAAGTCACCTGTGAAATAGAATCCACACGCTAGATCACAACTCATCACCTTTGGCCCTTCGCGCCTCGGCTACAGCGACGTTGAACTCCTGGAACTGCTCTCGCAAACGGTGTTCCTCGTCCTCGATGGTAGCATGCAAATCCGGGGCAGCTGGCACAGACCACGGATTCTCCCGCCGATTCCTGGGATGGCACAGGGCGCGTGGCAGCAAGAACGAAGAACGTCTAGGTCCCTTTCAGTCTATGCTTGGCGGACGGGTGTCAAGTGCCGCCACGCTGTGAGGAGCAGCCAGAGACCAGGGCAGCAAAGCGAAGTGAGGTTCATAGTCGTGTTGAACATTACACTAACGGGAATCTTATTTCCATAGCTGTCCTGGTTCCTGCACTGGGCAGCCAGCAAGTTACACACACCATGCTGGATCCACGAGGCTTGCGACAGGCACTCCTCGTACTTCTCCAACGAGAAGGACGTGCCACACCCCGGCTGCAGCCACCAAGCCAGTCTACCACACCCCTCATCTACAAATTTGAAATATGGAACCAAGCACATGTCGCTCGTGTCTGGCAAGCCGCCTGCCGAAATCAATAAGATCCACAACAATATGCTGCCCACGCGTATACAGGCTGCCGCAATGTAAAACTGCCGCGCCACCAACTGATTGTTCGCAATGCCAAAAGCAGAATGCCGCTCCGGAAGTATAATGTAAATCCTCGACTTCATACTGACATGGCAAGGACTAATCTAAAACATCATGCACAATGACAAGGAAGGAAGGCTCTGCCAGTTGAGCTAGACTCTTAGACAGCTGCCAGAGCGACAGCCTGCACGAATTTCTTAGCCGACACCCTAAGAAAAAAAACAACTAAGTAAAAAGCCAAGGAACGGACGGCGCAACAAGTCCTGCCAATCTCCGGAACGCCTCACCGCCATGCCGATCATCACGAGAGTGGCAGGCATGAGAAAGATGTCTGACGTCCATTGTGCGAGAAATATCCTTGGATGAGAGGCTCTGTCACTTGTCAAGCTGCTTTCCGGCATGAGGGTCTGAGGATCTGAACACTTGTTGCAGATTCTGAAAGATTGTGAAGACAAGCATTACTACGGCTTGAAGCCTTCGCTGTCCAAGTTGCACGCTGCAAGTGGAGAGCCACTCCAAGAGGAGGGAAAGCACCACCACCTTGCCAGCAAAAGCCAGGAGAGGAGCACAGGGGAGAGCGGCAGGGGGTTTCGCTTCAAGCCAGGGCACCACAACTTGCTCTGAGTGCCTCTCCACGAGTACCCGGTGTGCCGCTAGCAGGGCCAGTGCGGGCGCCATGCTTGGGGCTGGATTCTGCATGCTGCGTATCAGTAGTTAACAGACTCAGCGCGCTTTTCTAGGCTTGGCTTTCTGGGAGCGATCTAAACAAGCCGATCAAACTGCCGCTGGTGTTTATACATCTTACTAACCGGGGACTGGCGAGATGCGCTGGAGATCGAGAGCCACGGCCCACGGTATCTTGTTAAACTCTGCTTTTTCCCCCATGACTGCATCGACTCTCTGCTCGAACACCTAAGCGTTTCGCATTAGGGGTGAGGGGTAGTTGCCAGTAACCCCCGACACAGGGATCCCTGCTGTGCCTTTCATTGACACTCGGGGCCAGCCTCTGACAAGGTGGCATGCGCTTGCTTCGTTGCAATCACCTGGACTGGTTCGCAGATCTTGCATACACCAAAACAAACCTGCCGTGGAAGGGCTGTTGCGAGGCAACTTTCTTGGCGAAGATCTTTGGTCAACTCCCCACAGCCCCCTAACCCTCTTGGCAATAGGCGCAGCCGAGAAATTTTGGAGGTCGCAAAAAATGAAGCTCCGAGGCTCCTGAAAAAGCGAACTTCGCTGAAGCCTCGAACTTAGCACTTCAGAGCTTCTCCTAGCTTCCGAACCACCCCTGGCCTGCAATCAGTTTTTGCCCTCATGAATGCTGAAGAGGTGCATAGTCACATGCGCACACGAGACCAAAGCCACCTGCAGTCTTGCACTGCACCCGCATTTACATCTCGGTGTACCTGTGACATCCTGCGATCCCCCAGCCTCCCATGGCCGAACCGTTCATGCAGCAGATAGTGAACTGCGGCCTTGATTTTCGCAATGATGAAGAGCACGCTTTGCACTACTCAAAAGTCTCTCCACCACAGGCAAAGTCGAGGGGGCGGCAGGGTTGACATGGCATACCTCGCTCGGGACTGGACACTTACCAAACGAAGCAGTCGAACTCCGGTGCTTCCGAAAGGCATATCGCGGGCAAAGCCTTGTGCCGACAGCTTGTTCCCCTGAGGCATTGCTTCGTAACGTCGACTCTGCAGTGCTCAACAACTCCCCGATGGCTCCCAGCCTCAGTGATCATTTTGCCGGCAAGGGCGATGGCTGGACCCGGCGGCGGACCCTGCAAGGCGAAAGCTGCCAAGCTCGCGTCTGCTCTGTCTCGCTGCACCTTTATCAGCACTTTCTAGTTCCGGAGCCTGCGCTGCCGGTCCACCAGAGATCGCGCCTGCCTCGTCGTGTCCAGGCAACAAAATTCGTGGGACCGCGATGAAGAAGCGCCGATGCCAACAGCTCGCGGGCCTGCGCCTGTGCAGCCTGGAAGGACTTGGGATCTCCTGGCGCGCTTTGGAGCAGCGGATTCGGCCCCTGTGCTCACACAAGCTTTCGGCTCGGCAGCCTCCGGCACAGAACATGCGACCATTGCCTGTGAAGACTGCCTCCAGCCCACTCTTCTGCATTTGCATAAGTCGCACCGGCCGAGCTGTCACCGAGCCCTTGGCAATTCGCACGTCTGGCCGCTGCGCGAGGATTCGGCATGCATCGTGGATCCCCCCACCGATGCCATCATTCATGGCCTTGTTGGACAGTCGGCACACCTCTTCGTCTCTGCTGAGCTGGCTTCACAACGCGAAAGCACCAGAATAAGGGTCGAGCATTGTTTGCTTCAGGCCTCCATGCAACACATGCCAAAATTCCAAGCAAGAGCTACACTAGCCTTGCAAAAATGTAGCGTGCGCTTGTTCGCATCCGGCCTGTTCAAGGTGCAGTAGGCGATACCTTCCCGGATCTCGATGAGGAACTCCTTCCGACATAGACAAGGAGGGAGCGCCAGAGCGCCGGCTCCGAGATCTTGAGGGAAATGCGGGTAAACCGTGGCATCACAATCCAGGTCATGCAGCAGGATCACGGCGCAAGGGCTCGATGCTTCATAGGGATTCATGTTGGCGGGCGGCAGACCCTAAACTCTGACACGGAGTGAGGGCACGCAGAAACTGAAACCTAACGGGCGGCAGCAGACCCCGAACTACTCGTGCACGAAGCAAGTCAACTGAGGAGCCAATGCAGGAGAATCACCTGAACAGAAATGCGAAGTGGCAACCTCGGAAGGCTTGCCACTCCAAGTTGTGCCCTGGTGTTGAGTTGCTTGGAAAGTGTGGACCGTTCTGTTTCTCCTGAGGCCTCAAATGCTCCCAAGGCCCCCTCTACAAGTCTGAAACCACACATCCAAAAGCAGAGGCTCAACCTGCCATGCCAAGCTGCGGGGCAAAACTGGTTCGTGGAAACCCAAGTAAGGAGGGAAACGCTTCCGAAGCCCACGGCCAGGAAAAAATTGCAAGAAATCACGAGGCCATCGAGGCTTCAAGGCTGTAGAAGGGCATAAAGGGCAGAATCGGTACCCAGCACGACAGCGGTAGAGCTCCGGATTGTCCCAGGTCTCAACGCTTTCACACTTGGCGACCTGGCTAAAACCGAACAGAAGGCTCACTTCAGGCAGGTCGTCTCCGAGGCTCTGGCTGATTCTGGGCCGAGCTGGTCCAGCATTGGTCTATCCCATGGCTTCTGCACCTGGCCAGAAATAGATGGGATGGTCTGCAAGCGAACTGCAAGGAAATTGTGAGCATCCTCCGCTCTCTGATCTCGTGGCCATGCAAACTGCTGCCGGCGAGGCTAAGTTCGCATCCTTGTCTACTCGATCTGGCCTCGCGACTCATATCTTCATTTGAATGAGGGTGTGGATTTAGCAACAGGTTGAATCTTCTCAAGCATGTTCCAGCAGACGATCCTGCCGCACATACGTCCTTCTTCAGTACAGATCTGGTGCACAAATACGATATGAGTCTGAGGAGGCGACTTGTATTTGTAACCCTCAAGGTGATCCTGGCATCTGCTTCGCAAAGCTTATCACAAGAGAGCCCACAGGCAGCAGGCTCCTTTCCCAGGTCAACTCCGAACTCTTTGAGTGCTGCTTTTTCACGCTCGAACTCCTTAGCTTGCGAGCGGCTTGCAAGACCAGCTTACATCTCCCCCGGGAACAGCTGCTTGGTGGGGCACGGTCGCTCCCTTTGGCGGAGGCTTGCCCAAACCCAGCGCACGCGCCTCCTGGAAGAGGTGTTGGTTTGTCGTCGCAAGGCGTTGGCGTCGCAGCTTTCAGGCGGGTCGAAGCGCGAAGGATTAGAGCCGAGCACCGATGCTTAGCTTATCTGAGTAAGGTTGGAGCCGAATGTGTTACGTAGTGTCCACAAAAACAAACAGCTCCTGGGGGGTGACAGCCTCTGTTTTTTTTCACCGAAAAACACAGAAACCAACGTTTCAGAGCGGCTTCTCTCAGAGCTTGCCTCGGCCTCGGCCTGCAAGAAAAGCTCCGGCCCAGGACATGTTGTTTCCGAGCATTGTTAACTTTGTTGTTCGGCGTCGAAACAACTTTGCTGGCATAAGTTTGTTCGTTTTAGCAGACTGCGAGGGCGAAAGTCTTGAAAGCATAGAACAGGGCTGTTTCCCTTTTGCTTTGGTTGGGCACGTTTGTTTCCTTTCTGAACCGCGGCAACAGGCAGGGACAAAGTTTGCTTCTCCAGTATCTTTTTCGAAAGTCGAAACAACAAGCTCAGGCTCGTCCGCAAAACTCAGAAGCTGCACAAGTCTTCGCCTTCTGAGCAAACGGCACGACAAGATTGAAAAGAGACTCTTCATCCCCTCACTTGGCCAGCCAGGCGTCAGTAATAAACATTCAAACAATACGAGAAGGTGCACACGTCTTCGCTTCATGGGCAAGCGAGAAATATGAAATCGCGGAAATCGAAACTCGCACACCCATGTCACTCCAACAAACGATGACTTAGAATATGCACGTCATGGCTTTGCGATCCGGGCGGACACGTCGTCGTTTCATGGGAAAGCGGGTGTTATGAAGTTGAATTGGCGCAACTCATCACTCCAACAACCGACAGCTTAGAGGAGACTGCACACGCATGGGGCGGGGGGCTGCGAACGTCTTCGCCTTTTGCACAGTGCCAGGGTTGTGAATCTGGAACATAGTGAAACATCGGTCGAAGCATAATGAACTGTCACTAAACATCTAAGCAGAAACTGTGCACGTCATCGAATTGCGAGCCAGGCGGCAGCAATGAAATTGATTGTGACTTGGTCGTCGGCGCAGAACAAGCCCGGTCCCACGGAGTTAGTTTCTGGCTCCGAAACTTAACTGATCGGGAGAATATGGAAGTGTTAGTTTCTCCTCTCGGACACAAACCCGGTCCAGTTTCTCGCTCCGAAACTGACGGTGATGTGGAGGGTTAGTCTCGCACTCCGAAACTCACTTTGCAAGACAGACTTCGTTTCTTCTCTTGGAAACGAACGGGAGTTTACAGAGCTTGTTGCTTTTCGCAGAAACGATCAAACCGGGTCCCTTGGAGTTAGCCTGTCAATGAAACCAAGGTTGCTGCGGAAAACTACGCCTGAAACTACCAAAACTTCTTGTCACGCCTATATGGCATATCTCGACTCCACGTCAGCTCCCATCTACAACATGATCAGATCGGTCGCACCTCGAGGGAAAGAAGCTGCGGAGCCATCTTGGCTCCAAGTCCAGGAACTCGTGCTTTCTCTTTGTTCCCCTACACTGAGGCCCAGTAAATCTGGAGCTGGCCTGGCTTCGATACTGCTGCGTTGCTACTGTTCTGTTCCTATGGTGCTGTTGATTGGTCCTCCGCGGCGGCTGCTGTGCTCGAGCCCGTTGCCATTGGCAGTCGTCATTGAACCCGTCCCCGAATGCCAAGTACAGTTTCGGCTGAAAACCGTGAAGGCGGCAAGACTGTTCAAACCTTACAACATGTACCTCTGCACCAACCGCAATTATGTTTGTCAGTGTCGTAACAATCTCTGACTCGCCAATGTGTACCTGCCAGGGCAAACCTCAAACACAAATCCATGCACGTCCTGCGAGATGCGATCGTTCTTGTTGATGGTTCCCTGCTTCCTCGCATGAGAAAGCTCTTCACATGTTGGCAGCCGGGGCAAACGGAAGACTCTCGGCACCAGGCTGCAAAAAAGCCGGGAAGGATGGCTTTGCAAATGCTTGGTCTGGGCCTGAGATGTTTGTGAAGGCACCAAGGCCCTTGCAGGTAAGCTAGAATGTAAAGAGTTTCTTTCATGGGCGATCGCAGCTTCCTCGAAGCCTTCGACTCTGAGGCCGGGTCTGGTCATCAGCGCAGAGGGGTACACCGTGCCCACCAGAGCCGCGCTGTTCATCAACTGCGAGCAGTTGTCCGAGACAGTTCGGAGGCTGGCTTACCCTGCCATAGGGGCCATAGGGTGCTGGCTTCGTGCCATCAACGTGACTTCACAAGATTGAAGGCCTCAAAGTTGTGAGACCAGCCGTCGGCTGTAGCTATCAGCCAGGACCTTGGCCACGCCAGCCAAGCTCTCACACGAAGCAGTATGGAACAAAATCAGGACAGCTGCTAAGTAGCTGGACTGCTGTGGGAGGCATATTCTCCGATGCCTGCCCTTAGCCTGAAGCATCACTACTAGCTGAGGCAAGAACGCCTGTGCAGCTCGCTCCAAGACGGCCAACTGCACAGAACGGAGAGCGGGAGTCCACGTCAGGGAAGACTAGGCCCTCCAGATGCAACAAGCTCTATGCTAGCGACATGTTAGTCAACAGCTACAGGCCTGTTCCTACTCAGAAAAACAGGGTGCTGCCATGCAACATGGACGACATGTCCATGCTCGCCTGAAACCCTGGCTGCTTTCAGAGCATGAGATATACTCAGATATACCACAGCTGTTCTAAAAGGATTGGAAGCAAAACAGTTTCGATTCTTTGCACAAGGCCCATGACCACTGACTCGACCCAACAATCACCTCATCCATTTTGGCTGGCTTCTTGTCCATAGCTCGCAGATAGTTCTCCTTCAATACAGGGAACGAGAATCATGCAGCAACGCATTCCGAACATTGCAAGTTCAGAGCCGCTGTTATCCAGCTCTGCCGAAAGTTCCTGCACCATGATCGGCATGAGTTCGCTGTCGACATAGTACATGTCCATCCTTGCTCTCGAACTCGAGTGCGAACCACAAGCCCGTCTACAGCAATGCCACAATCAGCGTTCCTTCAACACACACAGACACACACAGACCAGACAGGCGGCCGTCGCTCCAATGGAAGAGGCTCCCGATGAGGGGACAGGAGCCGCGAGCACCTTCAGCTTCCCCCGCTTAAAATGTTTTTAGCGATGCCAGGCACCAGAAGTAACTGAGTACCGGTCGCTTCGAAGGTGGACATCATGACTTGGGAGTCCTTCTGGCAGGCCCTGCGCAGGATCGTGCCAAGCGCATCACCTCACTTCATGAACAGAGGCAGCGCCGTCCTTCCACCGTTCATGATTGTGCCGAAGAACTGCAGGTGATTGATCACCTACCAAGCTTGGACAGCAAAGTGGGAGCCTTGCAGTTTACAAGCAGCTGCCTGTCGAATGTCTTGGCCACAAGCTTCCACGATTGCTTCAACGGTCGCCTGATTCTTGCGGGACGTGCAATCTGTCTCCCTTCTTCCGTCGTATGGCCTCTGACACCTGCTGAGCTCAGGAACAAGCCATCTCCACCTTCCTTCCCTCAGACTGGACGATACTTTTGATGCGCTTGGCGACAGCGACGTTCTCGGGCCTTCCAGCACGAACAAACGACCCGGTGAGATCTTTGAGTGAGCTACAAGGCTAATTAGGTGGTGAGTCTCACAAGCAATGGCGCTCGTCTGAAAGCCACAAATAAAAGCCATTCTTGCTAACTAAGCCTTCGGAAGCGAAGATCGTAGCCTCAGCGACAGAGGAGCACAAGCCAAATTGGGCGCAGGAAAGAGCTGATGTGTGGAGTTTGGATCCGGACAATGGGTAGCCAACTGACGTACTTGGGCATCGCTTCGATCCTGGTAGAGCATTCGTAGCATTCCAAATCTCCCAATGGCTCGAGCTCGGAAAGCATGCCAGTGTCTTGGGCTCCACACGTTGCAGATGCAAATCACGGGATTCTTCGTGGCCTGGATGAGCTTTATCAATGCCTGCGCGAGGAAGGCGGAAATGGCCAGGCAGCTCCAGAGTCTCGGAGACTTGCCCCAGCAGGAAAGTGCGCAGCTCTCACGGCGCCTGACAACCGCCCTTGTCCCCGCCGGCCATGCCATCGCCTCAGAGCTGGAGCTTTCCGTCGAGACTGTCTCCAGGGGCCCAAGCCCGGCACACTCGTCCATGATGATGACCTCGGCTGCCGGATCTCAGCTGGCTCGTCAGCTTCAAGAGGGCACCCGGCAGAGCGGTTCAGGTTGCTCCCAGCATTGCCGAAGCGAAGAGTGCGGTTGCCTGCCTTGGTGTGTGGAGGCAGGGACAGACCTGTCCTAGACTCCTGGTGCGGACGACGGCTCCCGTGTTTCAAGGGAAGGCTCGCTGACGAATAGCAACGGCACCACTAGGTTGGGATATCCGGCGGAACCGCGTCAGCTCGCCATACTCAGGTAGCAACCAGTGAGTTGGCCAAACCGTCGATCACAGCCTGACGAAAGGTCTTTGTTGAAGCCTGCCTGTGGCACTGTGGCACTTGCTGGAACCTACTATGCCGGCCACCCAGATCGAACCCTAGAACCTGTGCTCCTGTGGCGATTGTTCAAGGAGGGAGAACAGGTCACAGCTTAGCCCAAGAAATGAGCATAAGCCTTTCAAATTGCCGGCTCAGGCATGCTGGCACGAGCGGTGTTGCGGTCGAAAATGATGAGGCCTTGCTCCGGGCATCAGAGGCGTTGAACTCCATGAGGCTGTATCGCGAACATCTCGCCTCCGGTCAGAACGAGACTGCCGGAAGTTGCCGCAAGAGGAGTGCTCGACTCCGCTACTTTTCCAAGGCTGCGGCAACAAGGCAGCAGGTCGTGGTTTTTCCAATCCTGGCAGAAGCGCAGAAGCATGAAATTTCCGCCCAGTGCCGCGCACATGGCAGCTGCGCCCTGGAGGTCCGCTTACGAGCACCTGAGCCGTGCTGCGAGGCTTTGCCAAGGGTCATTTGATATCACGGCCGTACAGAAACTGAGCTTCTGACGGCTCGGGCATTCAGGTTCTCTGGGGCCTGGGTAGAGCACAAAAGGGCAACTCTGCAGTGCCAATGAACGCCGCAAGATTGCACCGATTTCTTGAGTCGCGGCCGGTTGGAACTTCTTCGTCGGGTCCTCTGAAACGGAACACTTCAGCTTTCATCGATCACAGCTCGGGCTATGGCGGTGCTTTTTTGGTATCTCTTACAAGTATGGCCAATGCCAGTGCATTCGCTTGTATGAGGAGCTGATTGTTCGTTTGTGGTCGGTGCAGGCTGGCAGGTTCTTAGGGCTTTCTGCATAATCAGAAACTGGAAACACATCTGCATGTCCCGAGTGAGAAGCGAGCTCTACCACGGCATGTCCTGGGGTGGAAGCTCTTTCTTCTTTCCGCGGAGGACAACATCGTCCCAGTCCTTACGAGCCAGCCAGCAAGCTGAGGCAAGCTGCAAGTCATCCTGAAGATCCTGAGCTGCCCTGCTCGCAACCATTCTGCCAATTTCCGCACCTCTCAAGGCATTCTGTGCTTTCAACAGCTTCAGTCTTCAGGCGCTCCCCTGGCCTGGCCTGGTCGGTGTTTCCCACCACTTCGCCCAGGTGTCGGGGCTTGTGCCTGCCACTCGGCAGTGCTACCAGGTGCTAGCTGCTACCAGTGTGCCACAGCAGGGCTCCCTGCCTCGACGTCCACGGAGCCTCCCCTGGTCTCGCAGACGAGGGAGGTGCCATGGCCGAAGTTTGTTTGGGCTTCTGTGTCTCTGTGTCTTCAACATTGATGACTCACTGGTGCCTGTTCCATGCCTCATGTGCACGGATTAAACTCTGGCCCTTTGCTGCCATGAACTTCCCATCATTGGTCCAGCTCTGGAGCCAAAGCTAAGCAAGCTGGGAGATTGAAACAAGATAGCGGCCCAGGTGTCCGAAGAAGCCGTCTGAGACTTCTCTCCGTTGGGGCACCCTTCCCACCATCCATCTGGATGGCTCTGTAAAAACCGGTGCCCGACTGCACCTCAGCAAGGCAGGGAGTGACGGAACCCCGGAGTTCTGGTCTCACCGAGCTCCCAGCAGGCACGTAAGCATCACTGAAAAGAATGAAGTTCCTGTGCTTGGGTGGTTGTGCTTGGTCGCTCTTCAGCTCTGCAAGCACGGGCCACGTGGATGCGACTGAATGGGCCGGGTCTCCCCATGAGGCGGCCGGCACAAAGCTCGGTGGCCACGGACTCGGCACACAACGCAGAGGATGCATGGAGCGACAGGTTGCGCGCGCCCCATCTCAGACTGCAGCCTCCTTGGCAATGAGCTTGGAGTAGTAGGCCTCGCAACAAAGCATACGACGCAGGCGCAGGCATCAAGAAAAAGGCACGACACTTCAGGATGTCTGGGAGAGGCCTCGCCATCATGCTCCAGGTCGTGGGGATGGAAATCATGGAAGGCTTCACGAGACCAGCTCGCCTCGTGGACCTTTTTCCCAAGGCACAAAGGCATTGCAGTGCCCACGCATCCAAGCCAAGGACCTGCCGCTTCCGGCGTTGCAGGACATTGTAGAGTTTGAAGCGGATGTCGTAGATCTCCGCATACCTTCCGATCGCTAAGCTGCCTTTCACGCCCTGAGATCTGCTGAAAAGGCAGTGTAGGCAACCGGACGAAATGAAGGCGTCAGCCCATACGAGTATGAAGAAATCAAAGACACAACAAAACACAGGCAATCTCAAAACGACCGAGGAGGGCGCCACTTGGTAGGCATCATCTCCGGGAAAGTCCTCCAACAAGGAGGCATCTCTTTCCTTCGGTCTAGGGAAAGGTGACTCTCCTGGCATCGCCCCCGGTCTTTGTGAGGTAGAAAATCATGTGCTCGATGAGGGGACCCCGGAAGACGTCGTAGTACCTAGCTCCCAGCTAGCTCCCAGCGCACCCGGCCGAATTCAAAGGGGCATAAATTGGCTTTTTCCTAGGAGGTGACAAGGGGGGCACTCGAAAGATGGCCGCTGGTACAGCAGCTTGTTGTTCTGGCGCGTCGTTCCACGGCCTCAGCATGCCAGCTGCAGTGCCTTTCGGATGAGAAGAGAAAGGACACAGAATGGCACAGTCTCTTAGCTGTCGACCGTCGAAGGTCTCCCATCGCTTCTTGAGGTCAGCCTTTCGATGCATGGACCTTCCTCGTGGAAGCCTTGGGATGCTCTAATGGGCTGAGCAGTACCTTCGTCTTGGCATCGTAGTCCTTGCTCTCGGGATCTTCGACGGCACTTAGCAGGTGGTTGTGGTAGAAATGGTGCTTCTCGACGAAGGCCTGCCGAATCAACTCTTGAGCCCTGCTTCGCTGCCTGCACGGCTAAGGCCTGCCAGTACTGGTCAGCATCCAGCCACTCAGACTGGGAAAGCATCGAAATTGGAGGATTCCTCGAAGAAAAGCTCATGTGTCTCCAACCGAACACTCAGGGGAGAGACTCCCTGTGTTCACTGAGGAGTAAACTGGAAGGAAATCCAAAGCGCACGGGCTCCGTTCTGCAAGATCTGCTCAGACCTCTAGCTAGACCAGGCGGGGTGTTTTTGAAACACCTCGCTCTTTTGGAGTCACCGCGCTTAGCAGAAACGGAACCTCTTCGGCTCCTGGGGCCCCCTGCTTCTCCACGGACTTCTGACAGCTCGTCACGGCGGCATCGAAAAGCTCCCAGCCTGACTCAGAAGGGACCAAAACGGAGCAACTGTCAAACACTCGAAGGAACCAAACTCCGAGCCTTCCGTCTGCTTCTTAATCGATGCGGAGTGATCCTGCTCAGATACTATGCTCAGATCGCACCGCGCAGCACCCTAAGCACCAAAAGTTGAGGCAATGTTTCTCTCAATCAGCTTTGCTGGTTGTCGGGCTTCCGACTCTGTTTTGAGGGTTCCCTCCGTTGCATCTGAGGCCAAGCTCCCTGAGTTTCTGTTCCACAAGACGGTCACAAGCCAAACAACCATGGCACCAAAAACTTGGGTGCCAAAGAATGGACAGGAATTCTGCATGTACTTCGTTACCTGGGCTCTGTCCCTCCGTGCACGCACCCTCGCAGCCACCCGCCCGCATATCACGGTTCTCCCGGCTTCTGAACATCAGTCACAACCATTTTTAGGGTTGCAGATGTCCCACCTACAACAGCTCCAGCTGAAGCAGGTTTGGAAAAGTTGCACGAAGAGCAGGTTGCACCCGAAATACCGTTAGACTTCCCCAACAGAAGAAGGGCACCTAAATTGTCGGGAACCGATCCAGCAATTTGCGGTGCCTCTTTGAGGACCGTCTCCAGCAGAACAGACTGCTGCTCGTGGAAGCTCTTGAGGCAGCCGAGGACCTGTAGCAAAACGGGAGCAAAACGTATCGGCAGAGCCAAAGGGCACGGGCACCTCTTTGTTGCTGATGCGGGAATCCCAGGCAGCCCAGTCGATGGTCTCAGCACACCAGCTGCAATGCGTGTCGTGACACGGCGGGACCGCTGGGAGCTCGTAAGAACTCCTTTATGCTTCGGAGATTGCACTGGGGCTCACTCACAGTTCCTCATGCAAGTCTCGAAAGAACATGAGTCATCAGACATCATGAGACTCGTTGAAGGACCCTAGTCTCCGCAGATGCTGCAGTGCCACAGGCGTCTGCAGCAATTGGGGCTCACGACAAGGAGCCGTGCATGCACAGTCTTCCTACTGAGTGACTCAAGGCACCGGCCTTTGCAGCAGCGCTTGAAGTGGAATCCACCAAGGTCGTGACCTCGCATAGCAGACACCACACAAAGCTGGCACGGAAAAACTCCGGATCCGGAGTCTGGCCTGGCCGTCGCGCACTCGCAGCTTGCGAAACTCCTCCTGGTTGCTCTCTCCGACGGCGTACTCCTTCGCAGGCTTAGCACTGCTCCGAGCCGAAACGTTATCTTTTCCGCTCCTGCAACATGTGCCATCGGTCACGACGAGGCAGGGCACGCAGGCTGCTACGAATGCCGCGGCGCATCATCCTGGGAAACATCTTCCAAGCATCAATTTGAAGGCTTCGCAGCTGGCAGTTCTGCGCCTGGTGCAGGCGGGCCCAAAACGCTACGCAGCCCAGGGAGAAGGTCGGCCCCGGGAGAGGGCGCTGTGAGCCGAAGCCGAACGAGAACTTGCAGTTTACATGCATCTCCGCAACGGTCTACCAATGATCTGTAGAACAGCTTCACAGCTCGAACCTCAGCAGGCTGGGTGGTCCTGAGAATCCCGAACCTCCATGAGGACCTTAGCAGCGCCCAATCTTGGACATCCGCATCCGACTTCATACTGCCAGGCGGCCATGCTCACCACAGGCAAGCCGAAAGGCCGTAACATTTGAAGAGGGGTCCGGAATTAATTTCGGTGTTTTTGTTGTTTCCGATTTTTTTGTTTTCCTGTCTTTCAAGCAAACTACAGCTAGTTTACAAGCTCCACGTACTCTGATGTGGTAACTTCTTCCGGAACGTACATTTGCAGGCCTCTCTGCTCATGCAGACTTGACTCATGCAAGCTCTATGCAATTGGCACAAAATAACCCGATTCTTGCTAGGCCATCCGGAGGGTGCCGGGTCACTTAGCAATTTTTGTTGGGTATTCCGGTTCATCACATATCTTAAACACGCGCCCTCATTTTGGCGACTCCGGTTCATCACATATCTTGAACACGCCCCTGCTGTTGGTGATTCCGGTTCATCATATATCTTAAACACGCCCCTCATTTGTTGAGTCCGGTCCTTCATATATCTACAGCACGCCCCCTCATTCCAACCGCTTTTTTGACCGTGCATGGCTTGCTGTCAAGATGTGGACACTTTCAGAACCCGTTATGCATAAATTTGAAACCTTCAAAGTTATGTGATCGACGCAATTCCTCTTCATGGCGCAATGTTCTTGACAGCAAGCCATGCATGGTATAAACAGAAAGCGGAGGGGGGGGGGCGCAATGTACGTCTGCATCATGGGCTGTGAAAGAGTCCATATGGGTTCTGCTTTTGCTGCCAGGATGATGTTTGAAACGAGCTTGCGCGGCACAACACAGCGGGGGGCCGCCTCGACCATTTGCAGACAGAAAGCCTGTATGATGGATGTAGAATCTTGGAAAACTTCTACGTTAACGTTATGTGACTGACACAGTTCTTCTTGGCGGCGCGACGTTCTTGACAACAGGCCATGCACGGTATGAAAAGAAAGCAGGGGGGTTGGGGGGCGCAGCCCCCCACAATTGCAATCCCAATGTACATGGGCATTACAAGTGCTGAAAGGATCCATATGAGCTCTGTGAACTTTTTTGCTGGCAGGATGATGCTTGAGGCGAGCTGGCGCGCCTTCAAAAAGCGGGGGCGCCCGGCCCCCCATTTGCAGACAGAATGCCTGTATCTTAGGTTTTGAAGAATTCAACACTTCGCCTGTGTGATGGATTTGGAAAATTGAAAACTTCTACACTTATGTGACTTCGGAAATTCTTCCGGACGGCGCGATGGTGTTGACAGCAAACCATGGACGGCACAAAAAGAACGCGGGGGGGTTGCGGGCGGCGCCCCGCCATTTGCAAACCCGGTGTACGTATGCATTATGGGTTCTGAAAGGGTCCATATCTTGACAGCAAGCCATGCACAGCATAAACAGAAAGCGCAGGGGTTGGGGGGGGGGCAGCTCCGCTCCTGGTGGATGGCAGCATCTTACAACCCATCTACGATTACGTATCCAAAGATGTCCATAGCTCTTAAGAACAGGTTGCCAACAACTCAACTCACTGGTACTGGCACGAGTACTAGTGAGTTGAGTCCTTCCGAAGGCATCTCTGTCAAACCAAAGTTTTATCGTTTTCTTATCCTTTTGCACAGTCAACTTGCCTGAGATTTGCGAGGCTGCACGTAGCAAGTCTTCAAGCTTCAGTTTGCAGAAGCGTGGCCTGCCAACCCTCAGCTTGCACAAGCAAGTGCAGCCTCTCAAGCCGGTAGCAGTAGGATGCAGTAGGAGGAGGAGTTGTATGAACAGGACAAGTCGTGCTATATTATCAGCATGGGCTACCAGCAACACGAATACTACCACTAAGACTAGCAGCACCCGTAGCATTAGTAGTACTCGTAACAACAATCAGAATTAATAGGATTTCATGGTATAGTACTCCTGTACTACAGATTCAAACCTGCTCGTGTCATTTTTACTTCTTATCGGTTTACAGCTACCCCCACAAGGGGCCTTCTAAACTAATCTACAAGAACGCCCTTGTTATACAACCTCAAGTTTGACCTGCTGAAATGTTCCAGGCATTGTCATTGGTCTTGTTCTGGGCATTTCAAGTGATTCAAGTGCGTCTGAGCCGAAGAATCACGGCGCCGGCACACGTGGTACGCAGGAGCTGTGTATGAAGCTGTTAAGAAGTTTGCAAGTCTATGTGAACAACCAAGAAAAGGCAGCCGAGACGCCAGGAAGCCGGAAAGGGAAGGTGAAAAAGCCAGGAAGCCAAATAGTGTTAACGCTAAGAAGGAAAACTTGGAAGCCAAGAAGCCAAGAAGACAGCAAACCACGAAGGAAAGCCCAGAAGCCGAGAAGCCAAAATGCAAAAACAAAAAATGCCCAAGAAAAAATACCTAAAACAATTTTAATAAAACACTATTGGGCTTGAGAGCGCCATTGAGTCACTGAAAACAGCCGAGCTGCTACGGTACTTCGTGAGAAGGCCGGCAGAGTTGGTTTTGTGATACAAGCAATGGACAAGAATGCACTGCACTGCACCGGGGCCACCGCTCTCGTCATGTCGTTCACGGTCATGATTCGCGGTGCGGCTTGGGGCTCGTTTCCTCTCGAATTGCCACAGCATGGTTCAAGTCCTTAGGAAAGCCTTCTCGAAGAGCCCACAGCGCTCCATCCAAGCTGGTGGTGGTGTCTTGTCGGCTAAGCCTCGGAAAGGCGAGCGCAAGCTCTCACTCTCAATTGAAATTATGAGCCAACTGGTCCAAGCATTCTGCGTTCTGGCCGTGAGGTCCCCGAAGGCTTGCTGCGGACCCTGCGTGGGGTTTGCATGACTCCGAGGTGATCGCCGGCGGGATTGTTAGCAAGACGTCATTATGCTCTTTTGCCAAGGACAGGTGCGGAATTCCAACAGGCTGTGAGACGGGTTCTGCTGCACCTAGTGCGTCTATGCAGAGAAATTTCCGACCGGGATGCCTTAGCCTCTCGCCACGCCTTCCCTGCATGCCTCGGCTTTCGCAACCTCTGTGCTCTCTTCAGTCCCGGCTTGAAGTCGATAGACCCGATGCCAGAACCATGCCAGGTGGAGGATTGCCCAAACAAGATTGAAGACGCCCCAGAAGTGGCAAGCAAGATCCTCATCATGTTCCGACAGCTGGAACCATTCAGAAGGGCCGGCGGGTTCGGGAAGAAGCTTCAGCAACAGACAGTCAAGAACAAGCCAGGACCAAAGACTGAAAGCTCGCACCTGGAGCCAATATGAATTCATCCACGGGTCCAAGGCTGTTCCGTGGCTTTGCAATACCCAGAGAATTCTCTGGCTCTCCAGTATCGGCACGAGCAAGATTGCCAAAGTCCAGTCATTCAGAAGTCGGATGTCAAACATGAACAAAGCGTTCCATGAAGTGCACAACCACACCCAGGAGACTGGAAGTCGGCAGCACATATCACCGAAGCGCCCACTCTTGGTCTCCATCAGCACAACATACCAATCTGAAATCCGAGCTCTTAGCTCCTCATCGGACACATCCAGACCCTGGAGCTCTGCTTGCATGGCGCCCATCTCGTACTTACGAATCCATTCTAGCGGATACTGGAAAAGCCCTGCCCCTGGCAAGGGAGTGCTTGCTATCAGGCAGAAGCCCGTGAGAGCGTTCAAGTAGCATTGATGCGACAGGTCAGTTAGCACCGCAACCAGGATATTCGCAGAAAGAAGCAGGTACAGCACCATGTGTGGCCAGACAGAACCTCTGAGGTGGCGAGCGCAGAAGCCGTAGACCCAGCCATTGAAGGGCCAAGCAGCTTCATCCGGGGCACATGCCACGCACAAAGCTGTCATGAGCATCATGAATGCTGAGACGCTAAAGGCCTTTATCAGGAAGAACAGCTGATCCGAGTGATCCGACGTTGTTGAAGCAACAAATGCCGGGAAGGCGGCCACTCCTAGTGGCACGAGAAGCAAGAACATTGGCTTCCAGGGCCGGTAAAGCCAGCCATGAGCAATCGCCCCAATCAAGGCAAATAGAGAAATCCGCCACAAATGTAGCCAGCAGTTGAGCTTCTCCTCGGGAAAGTCGTGCACAGGTGCCTGCCTATGGATTTCGAGCGAGCCTCTGATTGAATGGAAATCGATGGCCGTTTCAACTTGCAGTAGGGTCAACTCGTCCTGGGTGCAACCAGCTGGACCTTGGCTTCGGCCAGCTGCACACAAGCTCAGTACAAGAGCCAAGCGCCATGCTTCCATGCGCAGAATGCTTCTGCAAGTTGTGTAGTGGAAAGCAACATAGGGCAACAGTCCCTGTGTTTAGCCAGTCTAGCTCCCGCTCATTCCGATTCCTGACTTTCAAGAATGAATGATATGGAGTCGGTTCGGCAGCCACCTGGGCAGTCGTTTGCTGCGTGCAAAAGCGGTCAGCATGCAGAGTCATTGGATGTGACGTGTCTCACGATGTGCATCTCAGCAAAACTCCATAAAACTCCTGAAAATCTCTCCGCTATTTGTCCAGACTTCTACCATGCCCGTGTGCTCGGCGAGCCAAGTGCATTCTGTCGCCTAGCCGCCTGGCCCGGACGGACATCCGAGGTGCGGGCATCTGACAGGCCCGACATCTGGCGAGCAAGTTCCGTTCGCGGAGAATCCCCTTGACCACCTGCACTCGTCCGTCACTCCCCTTGCCCCAGCAAGCAGAAGCCCACCTGAGCTCTCAGTCGTGCGGCGTCTCAAAGCCTGACTCGAGAAGAGTAGCGAGGAGCTGCAAGGAGATGATCCCACCATGTCCCGCCTGCACAACCTTGGATTGGCGCTCCCGGAGCTTCGACATCTTGGACAGTCGATCGTCCCCGGCACCTCGCCCTGCGCGTCAGGTGAATTGGGGGTCATCGGGTGGGGTAGCATTCTTCATGCAAAAAAAGGCAGACTGCATGGCCGATGCAGCTGAGGGCTCGTCCATTGAGAGCGTGGATAGACTTCCTGAGGAAGAGATATGCTGGTCTTGACGGCTTCAGACGAGGCAAGCTGGGCGATAGAGAAACAGAGAACTCCTGTCCTGTCCGACTCGCCGCCTGCGCCAGAGGCTAAGGAAGGGATCGCCCCTCCCATGCCATAGGACCTTCGGGGGCAAAGTCGCCTTCTGTCACAACATCTTCTTCCCTGATCCGCAGCGTAGCGACGAGCTCCGCACTCCTCGGAGCAGCGGTCGGATGCGGCGGAGGCCAGGTCCAGCTTCTCGAGCCTGCCCTGCAGGCCCTGCAGTGTGCATGGAGCTGGGGCTCATCTGCTTCTATGCAGAATGACGAGGACCCCCAACCTGCTGTGCAGAGAAGGACAAGCTCCTCAGTCACTGGCACTGCTCGAAAGCAAAACTTGAGATGCCCTCGGGGTACTGCACGCTTTCTGGAGTTCCAGGGTCGAAGCTTCGTGCAGCCTAGAAGCGACATCTTGCTCGGGTGCTTCCAAACCTCTGCCCTCCAAACACGAAAATTGGAGCAAATAAGCTGCGGCCGTGTCTTCTCTGCGGCTCAGTAGGGCACAGTTCACAGGAGTGTATTGAGACGCTACACTGGCAGGCCGGCTGAACTGTTGGACAGAGAGTTTCGGTCCCTACTGGCAGGGGTCCTGAACTGGCTTTGACTTATCTCTGCGGTCCGAGTTGGTCATCCTGTGCCCTGTCAACATCTGGCTCAAACAATGACGGCACCCACTACAGCACGCGCAAGCCCTTGTGGGGGACCTCGGCGACTCAAACGTTCCACAAACTCCAAGATACTCTGCGATGCAGGAACGCCATCTTTTCCAAGTGCGGATCTTCAACTGCGGGACAACCCGGCCAGAGGGGTGTTGTCTCGCACCGCTCCGCCGGGAAAGGAAGGAGCCACTGTGCATCGAAGTTTCAAGATCGCTTAGAAGCAGAAGGTCTTTCAATGGCCATACCAGTAGCCACCTTCGTCAGATGTCCGGGCCGTGGCCGTTGCCGCAGTAGAGCCTGGTGCCACAAAGCAGAAAAACATCTCCGACTCTGTCACTGGCCCAGGCCGCCTCTGGAGCTACCGTCGGACCTGGCATGTGCACAGAGATAGAACGCTGCAAGAACTTGGCTCAGGGCTTTTGCCATGACTCCGATACCTTGTGGACTTGCTGCCCTTGAGCAGGACAGTGGTCGCCGGCCTTGGTGCTGTGATGTCTCTGACTGAACCCCGCAGTCAATGGAAAGCGGATCAGACTTCAGAAACAACCATAACCAGGGGCTTGACCTGTCGGCGTGCTCGCACCGCTCTGACATCCGGGGGAGACCTGACTGAGCAGTTCTCCATCTAAAGGGAACGGGTCATTCATCAGGGCTCGAGCGGCTCCGGCCGCGGGCAGAGGCTGGCCCTTGTCCCAGCAACGAACCTTTGGAGCCACCTGCTGCCATTGCTTCTAAGACTAAGACTCCCCACTCCGCAGCCGAAACTACCTTGCACCGTCACACCCCACACCTTGGACCAGTCCTTGGGAGGTGTACGGCGCCCCGGTGGACAGCGGCGAGGTTCCTGAAGCGGAGGCGCACCAAGAGTCGGGAGCTGGCCGCGAGGAACGGAAACACTGTGCTGAAAGCTAGCATCGTGCTTTCGAGATCCGAAAAACTGGCACGACCTTGAGCTGCCGGTGAGCGTGTGCGTGCACAGGCTGCTCTGTCTCACCCAGGATGCAATCAATGGCCATACACTCTCCACCAATGCTTGAGGAATAGATACACCTCTATGATCCACAAGCCTGCAGCCTGCCCAAGGTTGCAATTATCTGAGCGGTCACTTGTCCGCAAATGGACGTCTGGACTTGGGCACTTTGGCCAGATGGTGATTCTTTGGTTGTTGAAACAACTTCACCAACAAAGTTGTGGATTGAGCCTGGTCTTTGACAAAGGCCTCCCAGATCATTAACGCAACGTCTTTCAACACGGCTCGCTGCCATCTGGCTGCGCCACTTCATCACATCCTCACAAGGTGGCAGGTATCGCTTGGAGCACAGCGATGACACAATGCAATTCACTGCATGCCACCACACCGCCTACGACAGGGGCGCTTCCGGCCTGGACATGCCTCGGGCAAGATGGAATGGCAAGTGTTGGAGGCGTGTGTCGCCCTGGCAGTCATGTCAATAGAGAATCTGAAAGATGTTTACGAAGAATGAGACTGTTGCCCGAATACGTTCGTCATCACAGAACAAGCATGAAACGAAAACATTTCAGCCAGTCCTTTTGCTGTCGTGCCAACGCAACAACTAGGACTCAACAGTTGTTCCCGAAATTCTTACGTAGGGCGGGAGAAACTGAAGCCAGTTCTGCTCCGTATGCAGGTCTTGCTCCGGCTATTGTTACAAGCAAAGCCCGTGAACTCTCCATCCTTGACAAGGACTCAAGTACAATGCTTGTGCCACAGAACTGAACCCAATCAGAAGAAAGCTAAGGTTGGCGGGTCAAACCGCTCTTGGAATCCTTCCTATCTGCGACGCAGGTCTGGCACATGCCCGATCTCTGTCTCCAAGTACATGCTTTGCTTGTCACTTTGGAGAGAACCCGTGTTCGAATCTCAGTGAGCAAATATAGCAACCTGTAAGCTGGCCGCGTGCTGCAGGGATCATGGAGGCCCGACCCCAACCATCAAGAACTCTGGTGTCCTTGCCTGCATAGCTTGGGACTTTGCTGCCTTGGGCTGCTCCTGTCACCAGGGAACCACGGTAGACTCGCGCAGGAACAATGGCACGAAGCTTGGGTTGTAAGCATTATGAATACGAATGGTGGCAATGGTCCGGCAATAGTATGGCAGTCAACATCAAGTGGGAGGCCAAAGCTTCAAGTGCCGTTCACATTCGGCGTATTCGCAGCAGCCGACCATTGGAGAAGGACAGGATAACACTTGTACGTGCCGAGTGCAGTGCTGCTAAATCAAAAACAGTTTACTGATGTGCAGGCGCCCAAGTCATGCTGCAGACCGTCACAGACCCCAGGCTATACACTTCACACTCTTCCCTGCGCATCGTCACCTCGAAGGAGCGCACGAAGGCCGCCAGCCGCGGGAAGTCGTCCACGCGGGCGGCGCTTGGCAGCCGGGCCAGGAGCAGCATCAAGCTCTTCACCTCGGACCCGAGGAGTGCTCCGACGCACAGCAGAGGAGGAGCACAGCGCAGCAGTTGGTGTCTGTGTCTGTTGGTGCTTTTTCTCAGCGCGCGGGGGCGGGGCCCGGACGGCTTGGTTGGCGCGCTTGATGAGCTCGGCCTGGAGGTGCCCTTGGTCGGTCTTCCCCAAAACCTCCAGCTCCTCCTGGTCATGGTCCTCCTTCTGCTTCCCGGAGGCCGCGGAGGCGCCTCCATGTCACGGGGGCTTTTATACTCTGAAAGCTTCTCACACAGGCTGTCACTTGGGTGGTCCCAAGACGCCCAGCCTGGATTCGGTTCCGACCGCGGCTTGCCAGCCCCACTTCCTCGTCGCGCCTGGGGAGTCACCGCCACAATCAGAAGGGACCCTGAATCATTACAACAACACGAGCCTGCATGACTGAATCCAGCACACGTGTATCGTTGAATCAAGTCCCAAGATCTCAGAAGCAAGCCCCAACTTATAGACATTCCGAAGTTTGATATTCCCGCTGCTTGAGCAGGAAACACTTGAGAGTTGCTTCTAACTTCCAGCCTCGCTGACAGTCTGCCTGGCTGGCTTCCTGGAGGGCCGGCCCTCCACTGACCTTGAAACCTGACAGTCGTTCCATCGCTTGCCGGTCTTCAGAAGCATCCCTTCAGCAATTCAGCAAGCATGAACCTTCGCTGGGTTGCAGTTCTTACCAGGGTGGCGGCCTGCTGTGAAAACATTTGATGGACGACTACAAGCACATGCCGCAGCAACGCTAGTATCTGACCTTTGAAGATAGAGCTAAGTTCCAATTAAGGACTTGAGATGCTGTGAATCTGCAGGTCCGCTTCAAACAACGTGCAGAGGTGAGAGGGAGCGCGGCACGACATGCTTCCACACTGCTCGCCTCTGCAGTGCACACAGCGATGCTGCAAACCATGAGGACAGCAACCAGAGCACTGACCTCCCCAGCTCTGCTCTCTGTGCGGCACCCCTAAAGCCTAAATCAGTCTGCCAGCCTGTCTGATAAGGGCCACAAAGAGAAAGGCGCTCCCTCTCTTGGGACCAGCGGTTTCGCGACTGCTTCGCTTCCTGGCTCAGGCTCGGCTGGAAGGACCGCGCTTGCTGGCTGCATCACCCCACGGCCTGCAACGTGTCCTGGCAGAACCTGGGAAATAGCCGGAAGTCGTCGTTCCAGGTGCGGAGAGATTCGGTGGATCCTTCGCTGGAAAAAGACAGAAGGAAAGATCGCAAGAAAAGTTTTAAGGGAAGCCCTAGACCCACGTCCACACGAGTCCTGTGAGAGACTTGGACCAGTCTCCAATGGAGTTCTGGAGACGGTCCAAGGACTCGACCTCAAAAAGGACTCCCACTTTTAGACATGTGGCCCTTCATGGGTCCTTCATGGGCTCCCGGCAGAGGCCGTGTGCCACTCCGCTGCACGAGGTGAAGCATCCTGCTAAAGGGCCGCGCAGGCAAAGCCGACGGTCGAGATGTTCGGGAGTGCCATTCTACGAAGGGTCCTGGCTCTGCTTCTCTGGGCGCATCTTCCTACAGGCCAACTTGCTGCCCCGACTGGAGTTCTGGCAGCTGACAGCAGCTGAGCTGGCAGAAACTGCAGCTGAGAGGCATGTTCGCCCTCACAGTGGGGCGTGGCGAGGCGATGGGGGCCGAAAGCTGGAGAAGACAAGCGCGCAAAGCATGACACAATGTTGCAGCGTTCGGATCCGCCTGCTCCCACGGTCCGTGCTCAGTCTTCAGCCACTTCCAATCCTTACTTTGACAGAGGCGGCGCAGCTCGGCGACACGGCGAGCGGCCTGCCGTGCTTGACTGCGGCTAGCCACTCAAGTGCGCATGGTACTTTAGAGCATCCGACTGGTGAAAATGCCTTTCGACACACGCGCAGCATCTCGTGCAGCTGGGCCTGCTCCTGAAAAGACCAGCCACTCACGTCTCAGGCACTGGATCTGCTTGTGAGGCAGGGTACTAATGTACATCGTTCATAAGACCGATGACACGGTTGTCTCAAGTCGCAATGCATGGTTTCAGCTTTGACTTATGGTAGCGGGCGAACTGCCAACCCAGACCCAGCCTGAAGCAGGCCGAGTGGGGTTCGTGGGCGCTCCGCCGCCAGCAACTCCTCCGGTGTCGACGCAGTATCAGTTTGAGTAGACCTTGCCTATTTTCGGCTATTGGCAACGCCAAACCCGACCCGAGGACCTCGGCCGTAAGATCTCAAGCCCAATACCCCAGCCATTCCAATTGGTCAAATGGAGACAATCAAATGCACAAGATGTCATAGTAAAAACCGAGCCGAGGAATTCGGGCTTAATCAACTGGGGAAACCTTGGCACAACTGCATCAGATGCAGAGAGAAGAGAAGGGAATACAAGAACACTAAAGTACCAGAAAAAACCTGAAATACAAGAAGTGTTTGATCACGTCAGACAGTTGTTAATAAACGATCTGTTTTGGAGAACTACTTTATGTTGTTTGGAAAGCACAAGGATAGGGTGATGATTGAAATTCCTGATGACAAACAGGAACAAACAGGCTAAGTCTTCTCAGGGATAATACTGTGATGTAATTATAACACGTAAGCACATATAATTTACATTAGAGTTATAACATTCTTGGAGATTCCGAGAAGCTAAAACTTTAGTTTTACCCTGAACCCTAAACCCTGAACCAAATTCTACAGGGAACCCCTCGCCTTTTTTGGGCTATGGCAGCTAGGTAGATACGGGTATTGGGAATAAGATAGTTCTCCTAAGAACGTATTCTATCTTGTTGGGGTGAGTGGTGCCGATAGCCAAAACTAGGCGAGGATGGTTCCAACTTTAGGAGCTAAAGCAGCTAAAGTGTGATGGCCACCATGGATGATGCAACACAAGCAATTCTCGGCCTTGTAAACGCCGCAGAGGCCGAGCACAGCGCAACGACAGAGCCGGTGCAGCCGTAACAGCTCCTTCCCGGCTTCTGTCCAAAGGCATGTCAATGTGAAGGGTCAAAGAGAGATGAGGGCCATGGCAGGCTCCTTCCCAGGCCATCCAAAGACCGCGCTGTCGGACAGCTCGTCGCAACCTGCCTGGGGGAATGTCTCGTTCCGATGTATTCCTACACCTGTAGTATCCGAAGCAGGAGACGATCGGCACCATCGTATAAGCCCTGCAAGTGCCATGCAGTATGTTTCCTCGTGTGGCTGCACGACATGTATCCTTCTTAATTAACCTCTACCGACCGGAAACAGCAAACTGAAAAACTCCCAATGAAGACTCTGCGTCCTGCAGCTCGAGGAGGCAGTCGCGCATCTCCTGGCGCGTTCCAGCAAGGCGCTGAGTCACGGCAGCGCACGGCAACATTCGGCAACCTTCCCCCGTTCAGCTACGGGGCTCCAGTTCCAAGGCGCCGCGGTGCTTCGCCAGCCCCTTCGCCTCCAGCTCGCGGAGCTCCAAACCGGGCCTAGCTCGGAGCATGGCTGAGCACGGCGGAGCACTCCAAGATCCTCCGCTAGTTTGGCCCGTGCCTCCGGGCTGAGCGCCGCTGGCCGAAGCGGAGAGACTTCTGGGCACACCTGCAGGCGAAGCCGCACTTTCTCGAGCTGATGCTCAGAAAGTCGTGCCTTGGTAGGAAGTACGACGACTGCACGGTCTCTGCCAAGGAGACTTCCGAGCTGTTCGGAATCCTCACTGCCAAGCCCCATGAGGTCAAGATATGCAGAGTGAGAGTGCTACACGTTTCGACTGAAGTTGCTACGGCAAGCTTGCTGACACCTGCTTTGCCTGCCACACTTTGTGTCCGTTTCCAATGAAGCCCTCCCGTGCGAGCCTAATGCTTTCAGCTCGGCTGCTGGCAAGGTTCAGATATCTCCTCTTGTCTGGCTTATCTGGATAGTCACCGTCCCATGTGTCAAAGTAGTCGCCCTCCTCGCTGTCGGTGTTGCTGTCGGAATCCTCCTCATTGCCACTCTCATCCTGCACAGAACTAAGTCAGCTTTGAGTCAGTCAAGCCTCTGCGGGTGATTTCTAAAATTTTCTAAAGGTTGCACATCGCCGTCACTACACGAGAAGTTCCTCGTAAGTGGAGCTCAAACTCAGACAGCCCTGGCTTGGGGGAAAGCGCATGGAGGAGGTGGAAAAGCGCGTGGAATTCCCTCTCCTGGCCTCGCTGAGAGGACCCTCGCCAGGACTCGTCCGGCTCCCTGCCCCTGCTCGACGGCCTGGTCTGCGTTTCTCCTGCCCGCACTTTGTCAGGATACCACGTTCAACTCTGACAACTTTGTCAAAAAGCACTGGGTCCTGCAACTTGTCTAAGGGCTCATCGGGACTCTGGGGAAGGACATCGTCGCCATGGTCCGCCTTCCTATCTTTCCGTCCCCCTCGACGTCGAGACCTGCCTTGACCAACCTCCGCAACAGTGCAGAGACGCGCCTCACTTCTTGCAAAATGAATATTCAGTCTTGGATGGCACGATGCCGCATGCCTCCTGAGGGTCGCTGTCGCCAACATCCTCCTCTTCCCCATTGCGCCTTCGTCTGCGGTGTTTACCGTCCTCGAAAACCCGATGCAGTGGCGCTCTGGACGTGCAGTGACTGGCAGTGCCTCTTTACTATCGTCTTCGTCTTCGCTTCCGGTGCCACCGCTGCCGTCATCCGCTGCTTTTTTTCGCCGCCGCCTTCGTCGTGCCGTACTCTTTTCAGCTTGCCTGACCTGCAGACTGAGCAGCTGGGGCTGGGATGCCTGTCTGCACACGATCTTGCTCTACATTGCGTTGCAGTGTCGTCATTTACCTGCAGGCCTTCGAGGGGCTCTCCAGCGACTCCTCCAAAGATGTAGTTGCGGTCCTGTTCTGTCAGGCGTAAGTTCAAGATTATCGCACGCTTTCGCGTTTGATCCACGCATGAGAGCCGAAAGCGCAGCCTCGTGCCGAAGATGCTAAGCTGAAGCAAGGGATTGTGTCCTGGACGCTGGCGAAGTTCGCAGGATGCTCTTGGGCCCATGTTCCGCATGTCCCTGCCTGATGGTCTGCGACCTTGCCGCACCTCACCTCAGAGGTGCCCGAGACTTCGCACAGCGTCTACGGTGCGCGAACTCTGCACTTCCCCACAACTCACGCAACCTGCCTTGGAGCAGGCATCCCAAGCTTTCCTTTCGTTGCCTCAACGAGTCCTCACGCGTTCAAGGATGGAGATCCAGGCCCGCAAGAATCCGTGAAGCTGGCTCCTCGGGCAAGATGCTACCGAAGCTCGTCGAAGTTTGGGGATCTCCGCTGTCCCTGGAGCCTCGCGGCTAGCTTGCAAAATTCCCGCAACCTGCAAGAAAGACCTGTGCAAGAACCGCAGCCTCGTCGCAGCAGCCTTCCCACTGTCAGGCCCGTTCCTGCGTCATTGCCTGCACTTAGGAGCACCATCTTCTGAAAAGCAAGAGGGACAAACCAGAAACACTGCAAACATAGCATAGCAAACTCTAGCTGCGGCCTGCATCCGCCATCTGCCGGGACCCGGATGGTTGCACCTCCACGACCCGCTTCAACATCAGGGCAGCATGGACACCCTGGCCGAGTTGGCGCCACGAAAATTCACAGTGATGGTGCCGGAACTTCGAGCTTGAATTCACTCGAGGCCTTCCGCATGGATGCGAAAGCACCGCGAACCTTCTCTCCAGCCTGGCTGGGCTTCAAGCAACCTACAATCATCTGCGGATCCGCCTCCACTTCTGTACTCAGTCGGGACTGCCGTCAGGGGCTCGTCAGCGTCCGTCGCCTCAGTCCTGACGGACTGATGCTTTGACAACCGTTTGAACCGTAAGTCTAAGCACTCAGTGCCCAGCCTGATGCGATCCAAGCTTTTCCGCGCCCGCGCGAAAGCCGCACGGCGGTAGCGGTAGGTGCCTGTCATCAAAGTTCTGGACCCACGAAGAATTCCAGACAGGGCCCGATCCGCCTTCATCCTCTTTGCGACGCACCGGCGACGGGGGCGGGGCCTCCACTCTATAGCAGCCCTCATAAGAACAAGCGCTCCATGTGCCTTTGATGTCTCCTTGGTGTTGGTAGCTCACATGAGCAAGATACTCCGTTGTCTTGGGTGGCCCCAAGCAACCCAATGCGCCGACCCTGCAGGCTCAGTGGAGACTGTGAGCACAGTTGAATCAACATTCTCAGACTTGTGCAAGCATTCAGATGCTTGCCTGAGCCACGACTCGAAAGGAATCCGGCTATGAATCATCCACCCAGGGATGCAGGAAAGGCTTGAGGTTCAGGTTCATAAGGCTTTCGGTCAAAGAGTTCCGCCTGGATCTCTGATGCAGGGCCCGGAGACTTCGGCATTGATGGTTTCAGGTTCCGAGCTCTGAGGTCAAAACTACGCAGCTTGTGCCTTTGAGGTTCAAGCCTCCGGGATCCGGTTTGGCTTCATGATGCTTCATGCGAGTTTCTTGGAGTCCCTCCGAGCACACACTCACCCGGTATATCTTTTTTCGAATTACCAAGACATGATCGAACGATTCTTGAGACAACAATGTGCAGAAGGAAGAAACAAGCAGCGTCTACTCTGAAGGCAACATAATGAGCAAGGGCGGATTCTCGAAAGTGTCTATATTAAGTCTCCAGACAAGGACCGACATACGAGACACCCCATAGATGTTGAGAGTTGACCAGCAGGACACCACAGGAGAAGAGCGCATCACAGAACAACAAGGAGACTGGAACGGAAAAGCTGCAACAGAAGAATCACCGGTGTACGCGACAACGGGAGCACGGCTTGGCCTGAGCTTTCTTTTTTGCCGCCATCAAGGCCAAAGTTCATGGAGATGCCGGGCCATCATAGCCAGCACGCCAGATCCATCTCTGCTCTGGACTCTAGAGGTGTCCGCAGCCCAGACTGACTCTCGACACATATCGGGGTTCGAGTCTTCTCTATAATATATTCAACATGTTAATTCAATATCTTCATGCATCTTGGAGCTAGTTGGAGCAGAAACGCCGTGGATGCAGGACTAGGGCCTTGGCCGCCTTCCGCACAAAAGACCCTAGGCCTAGAACTAAGTTGCAGCAGGAAAGCGCTGAGATGCAGACAGAGTGTCCACGGCAGTCGGCTTCCGGTTCCCGTGCAGACCTGACTGGCGCATCAAAAGCAGACAGAAGGGGTTCTGGCTCCAGCCCGCCAAATCGGAATTGGATGGAGGGGCTTCGTGGAAAAAGTCGAACGCAAACGACAAGTCCTCTGGCAATTGGGCCGCTTTGGGAACGTTTTTCTGGTTGGGAAGCGGAATTGGTGCAATGTGAATCTGATTTGGCTTCGGCCAACACGAAATGCTCACGAGCGCAGAGACGAGTTGTCCAAGACGAGTCGTCCAACAACCAACATGTGGCCCTTGCCATGTCGACTTGTATTCATATATTAATGCCATCCTCGCTGACAATGCACGGCGGGGTCTTGTCTGTGCTGAGAGCAAAGCTCGCCGACTTCAATCGGTGACCTGGCATGGCTCCAAGCAGCTAGGCAGCTAGGCTTCTTTTTCGCACAGCTGCGCCTGGTCACCAGCCGCGGCAGGCGTCGCAAGTCCTTGGGCCAACCGCGGAAGGTCGGCCTGCAGAGTGCACAAGCTGGAGTAGACCGGCCTTTAGAAGTATTGCCGAAGCCAGGGTGCCTCTCTGATGGTGGATGACAAACGATCCTTCTTTCTGTGCAAACTTCTGTTTTTCTGCCCGGGCCAAGCTGTGCGATGAAGCCATCAGCAAATCCGGTCAATGCCTCGCTGGGCCTCGGGTCTCCAGCTTCGGCCACACTACGGTGACAGCTGTCGAGTGAAAGACCAGCTTGACGTAGACGGCCAGAATGGCCTGAAACCTGAATGCGAAACCGAAAAGATCGCGCCAGGCATGTCAAGCTGAAGACTGCATTACCAAGTCAGGCCCAAGTCCGATGGGCCAACAAACAATTACCGAATCGCTCTCTTCCCAAGAACGATTCTTGTCACCGTCACGGGCAAAGCAAGACTGCGGTAAAGACTCGAAATGTGGCAAAACCCATCATTCGTGCGACCACTTGAACTCCTCGCCTTGCTGCCCGTGTGTTCTCCGCTCGATATTATTAAAGCCAAACCGTCGGACTCCGACCTCCCGACCTCAGCGCTGAGGGCCAGGAGCTCCCATCTGCGCCGGCTCGGCCTGGGACTCGGCCTCAGACTCGGCCTCGGACTGGCCCATGGAGACCACCACCTGCGAGGACAGACGAAAGAGGGATAAAGAGGGGGAGGGGGGCCCAAAAAGCGAAGCGCGAAGTTTCGCTTCCGATTCCGAACGGTTCGGTTCCCTCCTCGAGCTCAGAATCGGAGGCAGAGCTCTTCCTTGGTGCGGATAGGTGCTCCCACGAGCTTTTACTGCGTGATCCCTCTGACCACCACCGGTACAGACAGCTCCACGGCTCAAGGGCACCCCATGTTTGCATGGGTTAGGATGCGTACGCTACCTCCATTTCAAGATCCAGGGCAGATCATCGCAAGACATTGGGTAAGCCAAGCTTCATTCTCACCTCCCCATCCTTTGTCTTCGATCGTCTGTCTTTGCAGCACAGCTTTCCGGCAATCAATCCTCAGAGTGAGATTAGGTTACAGATCAAACTTCAAGCACCAGGAGCTGTCAGAATCCAAGTGCCTTGAAGACCTAGACAACAAATGCTCCTACATCTTCTCAAGATGTGTGCCGAAGTGTCCGATGAGGGACGCTGCCATGCTGCTGTTCACCCCTGCGGCCACCCGCAGCTGAAGATCGCGCCCCTTATCCGAGGGATCGCGTCGGGCTTAAAGGACAGTTCGAAGTGTGTTCGGCCGAGGCCACACTGCACCAAAGATTCGTAACGCCATTAACTTCTCCGATCGACCAAGTGTTCTTCTGGTGCTATTGGCCGCAATGCCAGGAAGGAGCTGGCATCGTGCCTCGTGCAAGCTGGAGATACAGTAGCGTGCTGATAAATCGATGCCTAGGGCTCCCACGTTGCAGCAGAGGAGGCTGTGAAGTCATGCGCAACTTCAGGGAAGTGCAGCAACCAAACGCAAGCAAACTTTCCGATATGAAAATCGGACTGCGATCAGAAGAAACCTTGCTGGAACAGTGTCCCGACTGCAAAACCAACAGCGTAGTCGCACTGTACACTGACTATACGGGTTCCCATGACAGGGCCCACCAAGAGCATCGCCGATGCCGTCATGATCAGAAAACAACGAGAGCAGCGAGTTGGGCAAAATGCTGATCGCACCTTGGTGGCAACTCAGACTGAAAGACAGTTTCAAATACCTGCGACATGATACTTCATCAGATTTCAGAACTTTGACATACCTCTGATGCCGGCGGCTGGAAATCCCAACAGCTACGTCATCGCACCGTCGATTGTCCACCGAGGAGCCACAGGATCGGTCCAGGTCTGCAAGCTCGGCCGGCATCGGAGGCGGTCGTGCAGAGATGGAGATGTGCAGGGCGTAGACTACTGAGGAATGAGGCAATGAGGCTAAAGCACCCTCGAATGCCCTGGAGTCTTCGGAATCAACTTCTCAACCACGTTCGATGAACTTGCTTCTCTTGCAAAAAGCATCCATATGAGGAGGCTGATAAGGTTGCGCACAGACGAGCGACACACATCCGATGAACATCAAGGAACCTATGTTATGCGAACACGCGACTGATGCAGAGAAAGGGTTGTCCGGGAATGTTGATCTGATCTATGCAAGACGTCTTCTTGGCCCCCGTCCGTCCCTGCAGACTGCCTGCCAAGAGGGAGGCGGCGGCCGTGAAGAGCGGCAGCAAGCTCGGCCAGAGCCTGTGCAGGGCGGCGAGCCAGCTCCATTTCGGCTCCTCGCAGGCCCGCGGCCTCACTTTGCAGCTTGCTCAGGCCAGCATAGAGCACATCCAGCCAAGGCCCCACATGGGGGTCCTGTAGTGGACCCGACTGAACATCTCGCCACAAGAATGCAGATGGCTCCACTCTGCATCACTTTACCATGTTAATGATTGCGGCGCTGACAGTCAGCTCGAGTCCTGCACCTGCACTTTGGGCGGATGGCGGGATTCGACCTGAGAAGAATCTCAGGAATCTCGTTCACCGGCAGTAAGCTTCACAAGCCATACAAAATGCTAATAAGGCAGCGCAGTTGAGCTCGCGACATCAACTATCAACCAGTAAAGATCGCGCCTCCGCCACAGGCCCACTGGAAAGCATGGGCATCAATGTAGCATGGACACCGATGCACTTTGTTACCGAAACAACTCTATTTCACACACAAGAATTTGCCATCTGAGTTTTCTACCTGCACGCACCTTCGTTCTAGCACTTACTGGCCTGAGCTGCAGTTTTGCTTGCACTGCTCGAGTTGCAAGCGCGCGCCTGGCGACTGCAAGATCCAAGAAATCTCTGCAACCACAGCGACTGCAGCACAGGATGCATCCCGACACTCACTGGACGGACAGCTCCCTGAAACCAATCGGCATGGCCACTAGACACGTGAGGCAAAGAGTGTCACCTCAGCTTGCAGCCCTGCCAGAGTGCTGCTGCCCGGCTTTGAGGCTCAGCACCTGACAGTCAGCACCCTGTAGCCAGTTTCACCGGACACAAGCCAACTGCATCAGCGTCGGACTCACAGAACATGTAGCAAACTTTCGGCAAGGAAAGTTGACATCAGGAGTCACCGAGGGCACACGCTGCAAACGGCCACACTCCCCTGGCCTGTGTAAACCGCAAATTCAGCCAGAACCGCGTCGATCGCGGAGCGCTCCGAGTCCTTCCCGGCTTTCCTCGTTTCTGGCTCTGGCACCTGCACCGCCTGCACCGTCTTCGCCTTCGGCACCTCACAGCCAGGCTCAGCTGCAGAGGACCAAGGCGAGAAAGATCTAAACATACTTTTCCCCATTAGCCCTTGCCCTCAACCAATCGCAAGTGCCAGTGCATCCCCGAGCACGTCACCAAAGCTTCCGTCCAGAACCTCTCGCGCCTTCCGTCTCGATCTCCAGGCTCGTTGAATTCTCTCGCAGCTGCCTTGTAGTGGACAGTGTCAGGAGCTTCTTACATCATCTTGGTCGACAGCACACCTCGACACAGCTCCTAGGACGGCACCACATCACGAGTCTCGAAGCAGTCTCAGCGACAGACAGCGCAAAACCCTCGCTTTTCGAAGCTGCGCATTCAGCCGTCGCCTGAGAAAGCTCTAGATCTCCTCTTGGCATGAGCCATTCCTCACTGATCCCTGCTTGCCAGGCCTAGGCAGGATTGGGACGCACTGTAATGACCATGCCTATCCAGGCAGCCATGAGACCGTCCCAATGTCCCGCGCCACCAGCGGCTGATCCGGACAGCCTTGGCGGAAGGAAGCAGTCAGTACAACGCATCCCTTACATTGGCATTCGATTGGGACACTGCTAGCAGGATTCCTGCAAGGTAAGTAATGGAAGATCAACCTCCAAGCAAATGCAGTACTGAACAACAACCTCTTCACCCCTGAAATCCGAACTGGCGCTGTCGCAGGTTCTGTAGAACTCCCTGTTCGGTTGTAGTGCTTACAGGCAGGGTCTGGCAGCAGAACGGTTAGCTGCAGGCATGGGGAAGACAAGACTCGTTGCTGCCGTCCTGGGGCTGTTTAACATTGTGCATTGTGCGCACCCTTCCGAGGCAGCACTTTTGGTCACCGCATCATGCAGTACATACATCTCCTGCGCTTCCACCCGGTGTGTTACCAGTGCCTCTTTCACAACCCCGTCAAGACGTTCGTTGGTCATTTTGAAATCGAAGATAATCTTGCCCAATTCGACAGGATAGATCTTGGCATGTCGCAAACAAGCCCCCAAGAGCATATCTTCGATTGATTCAAGTCTCACGTTCAAGAGCTGATTCATGCAGCGCCTCAGGCCTGGCACTGCACTGCGAAGAGCGGCACGGCTCAATACATACCCAAGGCCGTGTGCGAATTCGGTCCACTTCTCATATGCCGGGCCGTGCGCTAGTGTGACCTGCCCTGCGTAGATCCTTGCTGATGCGTTTACTGCTCGAAGGGTCGCCCAAAGCCTGGGAACGTTCACGTAGGCGTCCGTGTCTGCCTTCATGAAGAACATGCAGTCCTAGGATCACAATGGACTCGAGGGCTTTGGGGAAAGGCAACCCTTCATGCAGCCCCTCTCAGCATTAATGCACACTGCTGTGAAGAGGCTGACCAGTGATACAGCGCAAGAGTCAACCACATGTAGATGAAGCGCAGCGCGTTAAACTTGGGGTGCCGAAGGTCGACATCTCCCCTCAAGGACAGAGTGGCATTGGCCCACTCCGGGAAGAGGGGGCGGCGACTGTAAAGAAGTGCCAGCACTGGAGACTCCTTGCGTGCATCCGGCGAGATATGAGGAAGGTAGGGCTTTGCCCAAGTCTCCGCGGCAGCCACAGCCCTGTTTATCTGCTTCGGGGCTGCATCTGTGGTGGGTATCAGAATGCAGAGCTTGCGCCGAGCTGAACGCAGCTTCTCCACAGCAGGTCCTTGGGGTCGCGAGGGCTCCAAGAGTTCGCGCTTCAGAACCGAGAGCCCCAGCTCTGTTTCGGAGACTGCCACTTTCAATGGACACCGCGCTATATTTCGAGCAACGCGGTAGCTCCATGGCGGCGCCAGGGCCATCGGCTCCAAAATGGATAGTACGGAACACCCGATCTCGTTTCGCACGACGTCGCGGCCACGACCCTCCCACGACCCTACCAGCCGCACACGCCGGTGAATTTCCAACAGGTTGGCAGGTGTCTTCGCTGTCACAACCAGAACACAGTGTCCAGAAGGATGCAGGTTGCGAAGACGCTGAAGTGGCGAGTTGAGACGCTGTGCGGGGACTGCCATTAGCACCTCCTGCTCGGGGTCACCCAGACGCTGTAAGAGCAAACGGAGCTGCTGCCACAAACAGAGCGTCACATAAAACCCCGAAGGCCAGTTCCACCCAAACCCGTGGGCATCACTGCTGCTCGACAAGTAGTCTGCACACTTCTGGACCCAATCAGATTGCAGACTCAACAACAACCTGCGGCTGAGGATGTATCCGGTAGCCTCATCTGCCAGAGAAACTCGTGCCTGTCCGATCATAGGGCCCAGCCCGTAATATTCCGGGTGCAAGCCTTTCACGCAGCTTAATCTCTGCGCGACTCGCTTCACGTTGATGTAGGCACGCCCGTCCACATGCATGAGCCAGTAGCAGCTAGCCAGCCATGAGGAAGTGTTAGAGTGATCCAGAAGCTTCTCGCGCAGTGCTGACCAAAGGCTCAACCCTCGAGTGTATGGATGCTCTGGAAGTTCTGTGCGATCCGGCAGGCGAAGCCGCCGTACAGAAGGGGAAGGCGTGGGCGTGCAGTTGGAGCACACAGGCGGCTCCAAAAGAAACTCCGGCTCCGGCTCCGCGCTCTTCTTAGGACTCTGCCCAAAGTCCACGAAGACGGTTTGGTCGGTGGCCCAGGTTTCTTGGATCTTCTCTTTCCAGGCACCCCAGGCCTGGTCACGTCCCAATACGAAGACACACAGCTCTCGCGCATGCATACTCATGTTATCTCATGTTTCATGAGTTTGAGTTGGGGCTTGGCAAACGGCTATAAGGCCGGCGCTGGAAGTCTTCGATCCTAACAAGCTTCACGGAAGCTCACATCCACTCCATCCCTTACCGAGCTCCCGAGCAGAAAGCTCTCGGTGTTGCCGCCGAAGGAGTGCAAGCTCAGAGGCCTCACAGCCTCTTTGCACGAGATTGCACGAATCTTGCATCTTCCCTGCAGTAAGGAAGGCACCGCTGCCTGAAAGAAGCCGTTGACCAGATGCCATCGCGCTGACCGGCTTGTTTGTAGTTCAGTACAGCAGATGAAGACTGAGTTTCCAATGGCTGGCCACGAACTGATCCATGGATCCAAATCTTGCTGGACTTTCCTCCCCACTTTTCTATGAGCCTCGTTCTTGCGTAAGGATATCCGGATACACAAGCCCAATACAGTAGCGAAGGGTCAGCGACACCGGCACTGCAAAGTCCTTGTTGTCTTGCCCTGCCCGCATTCTGTACGACAGCCCGGCGAGAGAAAACCTTCGATTGACTAGGCTGCATCCAGCAGCCAGCTGCATCTCGAAACGGACACACTTTGGGGTCAAGCTAGAGGAAGCTCGTCTGTACAGAGAGCTCCAACTCCATTCGAGTCTCAATCGAAGTCGTCAAGGGCGGAAGCTAAAGAAGACCCCGCATCTGATTCTAAGTCACTGTCGGATGCGGGTGAAATTCGCATCACCTGCTTGAACACCACAGAGACCTGCAAATGGAGCCCCAGAATGCTTCCAGCTCGGGGGCTTCGAAAGCCTGCGGACATCCGTAGCCTCGTCCGGCAGCATCGCAGCAAGGGTGTGATCTACAAGGAGGTCGCCTGCCACAAGCTGTCAGCTGTCAGGGCCCTCTCGTCAGAGCAGTCCCTGCCTCCAGCAAAGAATTGCGCATCACGGCGGTGGCCAGGCTCCGCTGCTGGCAGTTGCGCTTCAACTTGCTTCAACAGAGTCTGCTTTGCGGAGAAGAGAGTCCTCGCGGGAACACAGGTTTGAACAACTCTATCCTCGGCACCAGAGCCAGTACTGCAAAGGCAACATTCCAAGCAACGAAAGTGCCGCGGGTCTATCAAGGACCTCTACTACACGAACACAGCCAATGTCACTAGCCAAGTTGCTGCTTCGGCTGCAAAGTCAATTCCACAGCCTCAACAGGTAAGTTGTCACATGCTTGACTGCTAGATGAACGACAGGGCTGCTTTCCAACGTCTCTTATTGTTACCGAAATTGTTGTTCCGTCGTGCAACTGTAAGATATGGCGGTGAAGCTGCAAGTCGTCGTGTCATGACTGGATGACAGGTTCGGTCACACAACGCCGGACACAGAGATGCGCAAGGCTCCTAGCTGGCCTGACATCTGATTGAGATTTCTGCTTATCACAAACTCGAGAGAGAGTTGGTTCAACGCAGGAGCGCACTGTGCCGTGGTATAATGCGCTGTATCGTTGCCATGTAATGCTCCGAGAATGCGTTGGTTTTACTTCAATGGCCACCGGCCCGGCAATGTCCGTTTTCGACTGGTCTGTTTCCTGTGTTAATGTCTGCGAGGTGCCCACATGCAGTCTTGTAACAAACCACTTGCTCCTGTTCACGGCCACCCACCGACAAGAGTGTGCTCCCCGACACATTATAGCTCTTCGCAAAGGATGGCCTCCCCGGTGAGCGATCGAAAAGTCACTCGTCGAGCAGCGCCCCGTCTGGCAGCAAAGCTGGCAAGCAACCGGGCCCAACGTTCCTCGTGAGATTGCTGGGCGGTTGACCTATTAAATTTTGGCGGCGTTTACAGATAGTCCAAACCTTTGCTAGCCTGCGAAAGCCTTCTTGACTTCTCATTCGTACATGCCGTCTGTCACGTTGCCATTTACGATGCAAGCAGATGCGAGACCCCGAATCCGGCATTGTCATTGTCAAAGCGCAAGCATTTCAGGACCAGAACTCAACACCTGCAAACACGTGCACGGTCCTATTCAACCAGTTTGCCTCGGCTCCCTATGAAGCCTCGCATTACACTCACCATGTGACAAACGGGGTCCTGATCCTCGAGTTTCAACATCCGACCGACTGCCTCACTCCTGCCATGAACGATTCGAAACCAGCAGAGCATGAGTTGATAGCTTCAACACGAACAGCAACATGCTGGACATGCTGTTTCATCAATCAGCATCGTTAAAGCGATCGCTGGAAGCTAACACGACACTAGAATGCCATCCAACAGATGCTTTAGCAAGCACTCTATGTAATCAAACTTGAAAACAACCACAGCACTGTGTCCCTGCCTTTGACAATCATCGAGCTCATCCAGAAAAGTTTGCACATCGTCTGCAGAGGGCTCCGCATGCGTCATGGTGGCTTCCGACGCTGATAAGAGAGAATACCGTGTCAGTGCACAATGATTGATGCCTGTTGAGCTGCTGCGTACTTGCATGAGGAGGTTGGGTGGCAAATTGACAGCTTACGCGAACCCGTTTCTGAGTAAGGTATCTGTAGCCGAAAACAGCGATGCAGGGTATACAGGCAGGACAACAGTGTGAAAGACAGTGACATAAAAGACGTCTCGAAGCAAGCCGCAACAGCGCACAGTGCAGCGTTGTCGAGATGTTTGATGGACAATGGTTGGTCCATGAACCTACGACCGGCATCACCTGGACGCAAGCAGTTGAGAACGGCACCGATTCAAGGCAGGCGGGATCTACTTTACCAAAAAGGATGGCTGCTACAAGCTTGCTTGAAGCGTTGTCAATCCCTTCCAGCTAGCGGACCGCTGCATCTTTCAGTTGCCAGCTGTCTCATCCACACAGCTTGGAAAATGAATCCCACAAAAGCACAAGTCTTTTTCCAAAGCTGACACTTGATCGGGAGCAACAAGCGAAACACTGCAGAGAAACGCAGAGAAACACCACAGAAGCATCGAAAATGGCACAACAACCAAAAAGGCCGTCGACATGTTGAACCTATTTGAGAGTTGCCGGGCCGGTGTCTCTCAAGAGTGAAGCAATATCGAAAATGATTGGTCGGAAGACTTGCATGCCTTCATGACATCTCTCTGTTCAAAATTGTTCCGTTTGTTCCTTTCTGCGTTCTTGCAACAGGTTGATAGAAAAAGGCAGAAGTCGCGACATACTTGGAATCTGTCGGGACGCATTTTTCAAGAACTTTTGAATGGCTTGTTGATCATTCTGCCAATCAGACTCTGGTCCTGCTGCAAGCACAGCAGATTTCACCAGTGGGTAGTGGCAGTGCAAAGCTCTGGCAAACTGTGGTTTGTGCAAGGGAGCTTTTCTACTTTTTGCAAAACGAGATTTCCAGTGCTCTTTCGCATCTTTAACCTCTTGTCAGATCCGAAAATCACGTTCACACTTTCATTTTTTGTGAAGAGAGGAGACAAGAAAAAAGGGAAGCGAAGGAACAAAAAGGAAAACAAAGTGAAAAACAAAAAAAAAAAAACGGAAAAAGAATCCGCCAGACATGCATTTGCACAGGGGATTTTTGCGGAAGGGCTCGCCCGGCTGTATACTTTCAAGGCAAGCTGCAGCGTCTTGCCGGGTGTTGTGTTGCAATTTCGCAGTGATGGCAACGTTTAGACGAGCCAACCCGGAACCTAGCACGGCATTTGCTTCGAATCTGCAGCATTCTGAAGATGGCTGCAACCATTGCAGATGAAACATGGGCTCTGTGTCAAGAAGCCAATGAGATAAACTCAACACGGTCACATGCAAACATGCGCCGAACTTTCGCTTTTGTTTTTGCTTTGTAAGCTCCGTAAACTCCCATGAGCTTCTTTCTCCGTGAGGGGCAGCGTGCAACCTCTGAGCGCGCGATCTGATTCCGTGACGTCTCTGGAACCTCCGCAAACTTCCGTGAGCCGTAAGCTTCCATGAGCTCCGTGAGCCTCCGCTACGTCCCAGAAATCCGAATGAGCCTAATTTGTGTTGGGATTCAAACTTTTTTCTTTATTTTATTTTGAAAAATCGAAAAGATCAAAAAGATAGAATGCAAGCAAAAAGCAATCAAGGGTGGCTCGGCTACAGAGCGCGTGTCGAACTTCTCGTCCTACATTAGCCGTTTTTCTGGTTTCTAGCAAAATGCGGTTCTAGTGTGGATTTCTCCAAATGCGACATGCACTGCGTAGGAGAATCATGTTTCTGACTTGGGGACTGTTAAGATCGTAATATACCAAGTCATGATTCATTCTACATCATCGTAAAAGCTGTGCATCCACACATGCAGCAAATCTCAACAACATTGACAGATAAGCATCACTTGATTTGGTTGGCAGCTTGGATTGCTGCGAACGCAAACCCAGAACCTCAGGTTGTTTTGAAGCTGGAGGAGCCCACGTCGGAGTACAAGAAGACAGTCGCTGCAAATCCGGGCAGATAAGATCATGACACAGTTGAAAAGACAACAAGGTTTGGCGTCAATTCCAATTGCTGCGCTTTGGCTTTGTCTTCTATGTTTCAGAGCTCAATCAAACACCTCTCTCTTATATATGGTTTTCAAAACTGCGTTCTGTTAGAGTGTAGTCTCTGGCTGTTTCGTTGATAGCGTAAGTCCTTCTTCCCCGCTCCGGCCGGAACCCGCTCCA